ACCTACTTTTTACCACTTGAAAATTATTAATTCGTAGAGATTTAACAAAGTAATGTGTTAAATGTGGTGGGAACAAAAAACAGTTAAGTGACCTGATCATAAAAAATGTATAATCTTGTTTTGCTGAGTACCGATTTGCTTATATAAATCTCCGACTGTAAAAGATATATATTTCTATTTAGGAGAGACTCATTATTGGTATAATTTTTGTAAATGACTTTTTTTTCAATGCATGTCTAAAAGCTAGCGATCTTGCAATTATTTGAGAACTTCCGACACAGTGGTTGAGATTTTATTTGGATCGGTCGCGGAAGAGAGCAGTTCGTCGCTAGCTTTTAGTCTACAACTCGTTTTATAATGTTTGTAGATGTATCTATAAGGAATTAATTTTCAATTATAGGAAAGATGACATTTTATATTTTTATAAACGTCGCAGATATTTTTCTGGTTGACTTTTGTTTTCATTTCTGTAATTTATTTTTCTTTTGGTATTACCGTATTGTTACCACCTTATATATTTATTGGTCGAAAATTAGAAAAATAATACTCAAAAATTCTGTACGTTTTTATTTATTTTTAATTTTAATCTTTTAAAACTTTTGGAATAAATAATAACTGATTTCTTATAATCAATAATCATTTTTAAACAGTTTATATCGTAAAAAATTAAAAGTAACAATTACGAAACAACGCTGGTATCAACTGGTAAAGGTATCATGTATCTGCTTCACTGTCTGATTCCATGAGACCAGGATCTAGGAAAAAAGGATTTCAGCTAGCTGACTTTCAACATTCTGAATTCGCGTTTAAGATCAAGGCATCATTGCTGAAAAATTTCCTTTGGTATATTTTTTTAAAGTAGCAAAACAAAAGAAAACTGAATTTTTGAATATTACGTTTTAATTACAGACTTGGGCTTAAAATACATATATACATAATAGAAGATGTTTTTAGATTTTTTATAAAATGTGCATAAATTACACTCATGAAATTAAAGTTAAGTAAAAATTAAATGCGTCTCTTTTTATTTACCACCGTTCCTAGATTTGTCTGTAGCAATTGTGCGATTTTAGTTGTTTGAACTGTAGTAGAGGTTGGGACGCTTGGGAGACCCCTCTCCACTCCCACTCTGACGTCACAAGATCTCGACGCTGGCATGTCGCCGACTCAACGATATCTTGTGACGTCAGAGTGGGAGTGGAAGGGAGTCTCCCTAGCGTCCCAACCTCTACTAACTGTTTTTATCCCTGCTTAACGATTAACCTTTCTTGCGTCCTCCTTCTTCACGTGCCATATCAGGATTATCACGATCTGCTACACGGAATAATTATATTACACTTGGTATTGGTAAAAAAGAATTTAACAGTAGAATCGAAATCATCGGAGAACAACTAGAAGATCCAGAAGAACTATGGGGTGAATTTAAAAACCAAGTTAACGAAATCTCCACAAACAATGGTTATAAAAAAAAACTTAATCAAGAAAAATATATGGATGACAGACGACATCTTGTCGTCTGTCATCCATGTCAAATTAATGGAACAACATCGATGGTAACATCTAATAAAACAGAATAAAGACACCTGCAGAGAAGAATAAAAAAGGAGATCAAGTTAGTCAAAGAAAAATGGATGAGAGAAAGGTTCGACGAAATGGAGGATGTAATATCTAAACACGACTTATTTAATGTGCACAAAAAACTACACGAAATTAGTAACATTTAAAAAACGAGTTCCCTCTGTGCTCGTTGACAATAATAACAAAATTATTGTAAATGAGCACGAAATAAAAAAGGAATGGCAGCTGTATATATCAAAGTTGTTTATAATATTGCCGAATTGTACCAAAACTGTACTGACGGCCCAAAAATTATGAAATGCGTGGTAGAAATGCTAAAATTAGAAAAGCTTATGGTCCACATGATACACCAACTGAGTTGCTGAAACTCATAGATGATGATAACATAAAAGTAGTAGTAAGACTTTTTACTTCAATATATAACACCGGAGTGATTCCCACAGATTGGCTCAAATTCATCTTTGTCATCATCAATGGCGCTACAACTCTTCGTGAGTCTTTGGCGCGTTTACTATTGCCTTCCATGTTTGTCGGTCCTGTGCCAATAATTCCCATTGTCGCACTCCCATCTTCTCTGACTGCATCTTTCCACCTTTTTCTAGGTCGCCCTACAGACCTTCTTCTATCTGGCCTTTCCCAGAACACATTATCACTTTATTTCCTAGAACACATTGTCACTTTAACCATTTTTTATATTTGTTTGTCTTTTCTGTGGTTTCACAACGCGTTGAATAATTTTCCATCTAATTGGTTTAAATTGTTGGTATCTTCTGGTAATTGTCAATGCTTCTTCGATTTTACATTTTCTTTTAATTTCAATGTTAGGTTATGTCATTTGGTTTAGGTTTATTCTCTGTTCTGTATTTGAAGAGGAAATTCTGATATGTCTAGAGACAACAAATGTAGACGTTATGGATGTAGAAACCTTAAATGATAACTTAGTAAAAGCTATTAAGAACGCAGAAAAAAGTGCAATACAAATCCTAGGAGAGATAAGGAGGAAAAAATCAGTCAAGAGACAAAAAGACTTATGGTGACACGAAGAGAACTTAAACGATACGATTGCACGCGTACTACAACTTAATAAAGGTAATAATAAAGCAGTAAGAAAGGACGTACGACAATATAGCACAAACAAGATTACAACAGTTGTCGCGGAAAATAAAAGTTTAACGGTGCTGAAGAGATGTCAATCTCTAGGTAAGAAGAATATTGTTAAGCTCGCAGATCGAAATGGAAAAGTGGTGCCAGATAAAGAGAATTAAGGTAGTTGAAGAATTTTACACAGAATTATATAGAGAAAGGGGTAAAAAAGACTGCACCAAGTTGATAAAAGTTCCCAGAACACATTGTTTATAAGGCGATTGTCGTTAACTACAATCTATTGTTGATAACTACACCGATGATATCTCCATACAACGAGGAGTCCGACATGATTGCATTTTGTCGCCAACATTGTTCAATGTTTACTCGGACCAGTTATTTAAAAAGGCAACCATATGGAATAAAAATCAACGGGGAACTACGTAATATGATTAGATATGCAGACGGTACAATTCTATCAGATAATATTGTAGGTCGCCAAATTCTGCTTGATCGTATTCACGAGGTAGGAGAGGAAAAGGGCATAAAAATAAACTCAAGGGCACTAGAGGTGTAGGAAGGAAACGGAGTTCTTGGTTGAGGAACATTCGTGAATGGACTCGTATATCCAATGCGGGACAACTATTCCATATTACAGAAATCTGAGAAGCCTTTACAATGGTGATCGCCAACGTTGGATAATTCTAATATGGCACACGAAGAAGAAGACACTTAGAATCTGATTACATTCACGAATGTTTTTTAGCCAAGAAACCGGTTTTCTTCCTACACCTCTTCTACCTACTGGTCTTTAAGAATTTGTAGTGTTCTATATCTGTTTCCCTTTAATTCTTTCATTACTGTGAGACATATATATCCCAGCGGATTTCAAAAAATCTGTTGGCATCTGTTTGTCCCCAAAGCCCATGTTATTTGAACGCATCCATATTTTTAGACATTCCTTACTCATTACCTAATAATATTCTTCTTCTACGGCATTACAGGCCAAATTGAGCCTCGGCCTCATTTATTTTTTGCCTCCACCCTTGCTTGTCTGTGGCTGATCTTCTACATACACGGACTCCTAAAAGAGCTTGTGCTTTGCTGTTTACTGTGTCTTTCCAGCTGTAGTCGACAACTATTCGCCATTTAATTTCTCCTGTGGCATCTGGTTTCTTTGGAATGATCCACATTGGGGATGACCAAAGCAACCGACTCAATCTGATGGGTGTGTGGATACCGATTTGACGGTGTAAATGTAAACCGAAACTTCGTATATGGTGTTTCATTTGGTTAGTAAATGTTAACGGACTGTTTGAATGATGAAATATGCATGATGTAAATTTCCTGCACTGTCATCTTAGGTGAGATTCTTCTTTTGTATTAAAATGATCGGTTCTTAGGAAAGGATCGACATCTCTTAGATTTATTGGTTGACTTTTGATGGGATCAGTTATTGCTACTTGGATATATTCATCGGTGTTATTGACTAGCTCGGTCCAGGCAAGTTGATTACATGCGACGGTGAGAGCTTCTCTTAGGATGGCTCCTTCGACTTTTTGTCTTGGGATGACGATTTTACTTGATGTTTCTTTTACTGGCAATTTGACTTGTGTAATTATAAAAAGAGAAATCATACGATTTCTACCTGGCGAAATCGAATTCAAATATAAGCCGCCGTGCCCCCTAAGACTTGCGAAGCAAACGGCTTGATGAATGCATCGGCAAGGGAGTCTAAAAATTGCACTCCAAATGCCGTTCATCATGGCCTATATTCGTAGTGAATTCGATTTCTGGTACTCCAAATGAAGTAAATAAACAAAACAAATGACGGTATTATATTTTGATTTGATACAGAGCAGCAACAAGCCGCATATACGTATTTCGATCTCTTTAGATCTCCTCAGTAATACCGTCATTTGTTTTGACTTGTGTAATTGTTAGGACTCTTGGTGGACTGTATATAATTGGGCTTTATTTGTGGCATAGTAATGAATAGGAAGGAAGAATAGAATGCTCTGTAGTAAGAGCAGCTTGGGTAAAATCGAGATTTGCTTTCAGAAGCCTTAAGATTAAGACTATCAAAAAATGTCTTGTGAAATTTAAAAAGATAAAACAATTATTTTACATACTAACAGTAATAGACAGTAAGAAAGCTTTTAATTATCGAACAGGAAATATACTTTTCTTATTATCTATCTCTCGAATGCCAACTTTAGTTGATAGATTAGATTGAGATATATTGACATTGACAAGTAACCGTTTCTGTGTTGTTTTTCGACAATGATTCTGTTAAAATATTTCCAACTTGAATTCCAAAATAAAGACTATAGTTTTATGATTTTTTTATTTATTTTAGTAACATATCTTTATACTTCACTTCCTTCTCTAAATTATCCCAAAATTCAACATATTTCTTTCTGTAGTTATACTTGACCTTTATTTCCTCTCCTAACGATAAGTAAGGTATATTATTGTTATCAGTTATTGGTGGCCATGTTATATTGTTTAAAACTGGATCATTACCGGGTGTTGGATTTCTGCAAATAAACATATATACACTTATATTTTTTACCTAATATATAACTTTATATATAAAATTCTCATCAAGATGTTCGTTTACGCTAATTTCAGAACCCATTGAACCGATTTTAATAAAATTTGGAAAAAGTGTATATTGTTTTTCCAAATTTCAAAAGGATGCTCTTAATTCAGCTAAACACAACTCCCATAAAAACAAACATTATTCAAGTATACGCTCCTACAGCGGACGCCCCAGAAGAAATTATAGAAGAATTTTACAATGACCTTACTAATATTGTCAAAAGGATTCGGAAAAACGAAATAATACTAATAATGGGAGACTTTAATGCCAAAGTTGGCAAAGAACAAAGTGGAAATTTACTGGGATCCTTTGGTCTAGGGGAACGTAATGAAGGCGGAGACCGTTTGATTGAATTTGCAACTGAAGAGCAGCTCGTAGTGACAAACACCTTTTATGATCTTCCACCAAGACGACTATACTATACGTAGAAATCTCTCCAGGATACTCCAGATCACACAGTACGAAATCAAATAGACTATATTCTTGTTAACAAACGATTTAGAAACTCTATAACATCTGTTAAAACGTACCCGGGATCCGACATAAATTCGGACCACAATCCACTCATCGCCAAAATGAAACTTAGTTTAAAGAAAGTTCAAAGACCAAAAATTACGAAGTACGATATTAACCAACTGAAAAATAAGACAGTAAAGGAAAAGGTACAAAAACGCCTAAAAGAAAAAACGTGGGCTCGTACAGAAATAGATAACACAGATGTAGAACTAGAAAATTTGCACAAAGGTAGTCAAGAAATAACAGAGAAATACTTAAAACCTGAAAGAACAAAGAAAAAGGAATGGATGACGGAGGAGATTCTATGTATGATGGAAGACAGAAGAAACGCTAAAGATAATAAGAATTACTACAACAACATAAATAACGAAATAAAAAGGGCTATTAAAATAGCAAAAGAAAATTAGTTTAGCTCGAAGTGTACAGAGATAGAGTCATTACAACGAAAACATGATTCATTTAACCTCCATAAAAAGATTAAAGAAGCGGCAGGCTTATATAAACACAAGAACACTGGATTCCTGATAATCAGGGAAACATAGTACTGGAAATAGAGCATAAAAGGGATATTTGGATTAAATACGTGGAAAAAACTTTTGAAGATGTACGAAGTAACACTGGTATTACAACAAACACCAATTGCGAATCTGGACCACCATTTACAGTCGAAGAAGTAAAATATGCCATCAAAAACACCAAAGATGGTAAAGCAGTAGGCCCTGATAATTTTCACTCAGAATTCTTAAAACTTACGGACTATGATAGCATAAAATGGTTGACAAATATATTTAACAATATATTATATGATACAGGCATAATTCCCCAAAAATGGTTAGTGTCAACTTTTATAAATCTTCCAAAAAAACCCAATGCGAGAAAGTGCGAAGACTATAGAATTAGAAGCCTTAAGAGCGATTTACTTAAAACATTTCTAAAGGTCATTCACAAAAGAATATATACAAAATGTGAGGAACAACTAACAAGAACATAATTCGGATTTCGTGATGCTCTGGGAACACGGGAGGCCCTTTTTGCTGTACAGGTGCTATTTCAGAGATGCAGGGATGTGAATTGTGACATATACGTATGCTTTATAGATTACCAGAAGGCATTTGACAGAGTAAAACATTACAAATTAATGACTCTAATGCAAGAAATTGGAATTGACAACAAAGATCTTAGAATTATCAGAAACATTTACTACAATCAAACAGGGGTACGACAGGGCTGTGTTTTGTCTCCATTGTTGTTGAATATTTATTCTGAATGGGTATTTAAGAAAGCTTTCGACGGGTGTGCAAAAGGAATACTAATAAACGGTGAATGGTTGAATAACATTAGATATGCAGATGACACTATAGTTTTTGCCGATGATCTGAATGACTTACAGATATTAACAAGTCGCATAACTGAAGTCAGCAACAGATACGGACTAGCTCTTAACATAAAGAAAACCAAATTTATGACAATTAGTAAAAAACCAATACTAAACGCTCAACTTACAATCAACCAACAGAATATCGAAAGAGTCGAGCAATATACATATCTAGGCACCAATTTAAATAGCCACTCAATAGAAATTAAACAGCCAATAATAAAAGCAAAAGCAGCATTCGTTAGAATGAGAACCATTTTCAACAGTCGAGACATATCATTAAAAACAAAATGCCGTCTATTAAACTGCTACATATTCACAGTTCTGCTCTACGGAATGGAAGCGTGGACACTGACTGTTGCATCTATGAATCGGCTCGAAGCTTTCGAAATGTGGCGTTATAGGCGCGTCTTACGTATATCCTGGGTTGACAGAGTTACTAATGTGGAGGTCCTGCGTAGAATGGGGAAAGAATGTGGAATTCTCATGACCGTCAAAACTAAAAAGTTGGAATATCTAGGACATGTAATGAGAAATCAAGCACGTTACGGCCTTCTCCAGCTGATTCTCCAAGGGAAGGTAAATGGTAAGAGAGGACCGGAAAGAAGACGCATTTCCTGGCTTCAAAATTTACGAAAGTGGTATAATACGACTACCACTGAACTGTTTCGCACTGTAGTAAACAAAGTAAAGATAGCCGTGATGATCGCCAACATCCGGAACAGATAGACACTTTAAGAAGAAGAAGTATTGTTTTTAGTCCACCCTAAAAGATAGGATATTTTTGTCTCGATAAATGTCCTCTACTTTTTTTAATTTTAAATTCAAACTTTTTGATAAAACCTTTAGAGTTGAGAGTAGGTACTAAAACGTGTTTGAAAATCCGTGAAATTTTACAATATTGGGCTATTGTAAACTTTTTTCAGAAGTGGCATAAAAGTGATCAGTGTGAAGGTCATAGTCAAGCTACTCCAAAAAAGTGGAACATCTACGTGAATCACGTGCTTAAAATGGAACAAAGTATATGGGAAATCGCAGTTTTTTGAGCTGTTAAATAATTAGTTGTTGAGTGAGACTGTTGAGAGCTGTTAATAGTGAGACATTGGAATTTTGGTGTTGTATGTTTCCGACAATGAATCTGTCAAAATGTTCCCAAGGGGAGGGAATGGACTTTGAAAGAAAATGTGCTGTTTTTTATTGTTCAGTTTTCATACTTGTTAAAAATTTTTATTTTATTAAAGATATTAATATGAATATTGATAGTAAATATTTCATTAAAAGGCTTACCCTGTTGCTGCAAAATTAGACCACGTTTTGGTAAATATTTTTTTTATCATGTATGTATCTGATGGTGAACTAAAATTACGATAATTCCAAATAATGGGCACATCTTCCCCGTGGACCACTCCTATAAATTACGATTCTTTGTTAAACGATTCCATTTGGGATACACTCACTTTGTCAGAGAGTGCGTTTTTAGTGCGATATTAGTCGGCAGCTGAGTTTGCTTTAACATATAATGTAATGTAAGTATATATTTTGTAATGTAATTTTACATAATTTACATTAAGTATGGCTTACCTCTAGTATGTAGAAGTATGGGAAATCCCAAATGTATTAAAATTCCTTTCATATACAAACTGGGTTTAGAATTGATATATAGATATACTGAAGTATAGGGTGATAAAGCACGTGCCGCGTCCATAATTGGTTTTGTAAATAGAGCATCTGACAGAATCTAAAAATAAATCGGTAGCTACTTTAATTTTTTTTAAATAACTTGTGATGGTAGAACTTTGGTATACAGACATTTCAGGAAGGTGTGATGTTAGTGTGTGTACTACCTCTTAAATTTATTCTTTCGAAGACAGATTGACAGAACACATCGTTGGCAAGGTACCTTTATTTAATACAACTGCATTATTCGCTATAAAGTATTGAGGTAGTACAAAATAGTGTTAGAAACAAAGTATTAAAATCAAGTTAGATTGCTTAATACAGGATAAATCATTTATAAATGGTAAATTGTCAAAAGTTTACAACCCAGCGAAAACGACGAGTTTTACGGAAAACGACCCAACTTACGAAAAAGGTTAATGAGTTTTGGAACATGGAATGTGCAAGGTATTCGGACTAAAATTGATGAGGTGTTGAAAGAAATTAAGAGATTTTAATTAGATGTAACAGTCCTTACAGAATCAAAAAAGAAAGGGAAAGGGACAGACGAGTTTAAAGATTTTGTTCATTTCTATAGTGGAGTAGGAAAAGACAGAAGAGTAGCAGCAGGTTTAAGTATATTGATAAAGAAAAGGCTGTCACGAAATATTAAGAACTGGGAACAAATAAACGAAAGGCTAATAAAAGTTGTGATGAAGCTAAAAGGACGTGACATAGTGGTAGTGGGCGCATATGCACCTTCTGAAGATAAAAAGGACGAGGTAAAGGATAAGTTTTACGACGAATTGACGGACCTGGTAGAGAGTATTGGAACTAGGAAGGAAGTAATTCTACTAGGTGACTTAAATGCTAGAACCGGAAGAAAAGTAAATAGCAAAGTGGTCGGTCCATTTAGAAAAGAAAAAATACATAAAAAGAATTTAAATATCATGAATGGATATTATCAGCACAAGGATATTAATAAATTCACATGGATTCAGCCAACGAGGAATTTGAAATCAATAATCGATAGCTGTATATGCAAAGAAAACTCCACAATAAAGGTTAATAACGTTAGAGTCCATCGAGGAGCAGAATGTGGATCTGATCACCATTTGCTTAAAGCGTCACCACTATTTACATTTAAAGGAAGCCAACGACAAAAAGAAAACGAAAGTTCAATGATACTGCAAGACATTTCAACAAAGAGATATAATCTACAAGGTTTTGGAGAAGTGGATAGCATAAAAAAATAGAAATGAATGGTGGAATAAAGAAATAGAAGATCTTGTGGGGAAGAAGAAGAATATGTATAACAAATGGCTAGCAACAAAGGACCCTTACTATCGACGACAGTACAACAGCTTAAACAATTAAAGTAAAAAAAGAGGTAAGTAAAGCCAAAAATGAGATGTGAAATAAAGTCTGCGATAACGTAGAAAATTTTATGGTTACAGCAAGAAGTAAAGAAGCCTGGAAAACAATTAGAGGTAGTAGAACAGATAGGAAAGAATGCAGTAGGTTAACTCTAATAGCCCCAGAATTATGGGTCGAATATTATGAACAAATGCTGACAGAAGATCGAACAGAATTCCAAGATATTGGCTACCAAAAAATATGATATTTTCTACCGCGAAGAAACTGAAATAACGCCAGAAGAAATTAAAAAACAAGCCAACGCTATGAAAAATAGAAAAGCTCCAGGACCGGGTGGAGTACCCATTGAACTGATTAAATATGGCCCTGACAAACTATTTTAACTATTGGCTTATTCTTTTAATTTATTCTTGAGAGGAGAAGAGCCACCCCCAGAATGGAAAACTGCATATATTACCAATCTATACAAAAATAAAGGCGACAGAAAAGATTGTAAGAACTACCGAGGGCTTAGTGTAACTAACTCAATCTGTAGAGTATACGGGAAGATAATTAAAAGCCGAATTGAAGATTGTTGGGAAGACGCTGAAGATCAGAGTGGCTTTCGTACTGGTCGTTCTTGTACAGACAATGTGTTTTGCCTAAACCAAACAATAGAAAAGCGTTTGGAACATAATATGGAGACACACATGGTATTTATTGATCTTCAAAAAGCGTATGACAGTGTCCCATTAGCCAAGCTATGGCAGGTGCTAGAAGACAAGAATATTCCACCGATTTACATTAATCCTGTAAGGGAGTTGTGCGATGATATGACGAGTGTAATAAAGATTTTACAAAAGTGACAAAAAAGATAAAAGTGACCAAAGGACTTCGCCAAGGCTGCTGTATTGCACTTACACTCTTTAAGATTTATTTGGAGGGGGTTTTGAATATTTGAAAAAGAAAATGTGGACCTATGGGCGTTAAAATTGGAGACCATACACTGTACAGCTTGCATTTTGCTGATGACCAAATAATACTTGCAGAAGATTAAGATGATAATCACTACATGTTACGAAAAATAGATGAAGAATATACTAAGTGGGGCTTATCAATTAATCCATCAAAAACAGAGTTAGTAGTAGTGGGAGGTGAAGGAAAGCACTTAGACTAGGAAGCAAACAAATTCAAAATACTGATAGCTATAAATATCTCGGGGTAAACATTACAAACAATGGTCGGAATACAAAAGAAATAGCTAATAGAATTGGTCAAGGAAATTCAGCAATACGTCAACTGCGTAATATACTTTGGAATAACCACATCACCCGAAACACAAAAATTAGGATATACAAAAGTATCATAGAAAAGCATTGCTACATATGGTTCAGAGCTTTGGGCAATAAATAAAAATGATGCATCCAAAATAAAAGCAATGGAAATGACTTATTGGAGAAGATGTTGCCAACTCACTAGAAGAGATAGAGTAAGGAATACTGAAATCAGAGAGCGTATGGGCATAGACATTGACATCCTGGAAACTATAGAATGCAAAATGCTGAATTGGTATGACCATGTAGAAAAGATGAATGATCAACGATAGCCAAAGAGAATGTTACAGTGGATTCCCACCAACCGCGGGAAAAAGGGAAGACCAAGAAGATCGTGGAGACAAGAAGTAAAGGGTGCAATGGAAGATAGGGGCCTACAAGTAGATGACTGGAACGATCGCAAGCGTTGGAAGCTAGGTTGCGAAAAACGGCGGCAGCTGTAATAAACTCGTTAACGAATTGTTTTTAAATTTACAAAAATTTGATGAATTTTAAAGATTGAAGATGAATTAATAATGATGAAGTCTATTATTATTTGACTTCTTTTTAATCAGTTCATATTAACATTTATAACAGATAAATTGCACGGTGATAAGCAAACATCTTGATCTTCCGCTCGGTTTAAACTCTTGATATAAACTGTATCATTTTTGATTGATTGTTTTAATTTATTTCTTTAGTTCTTTGTTTTCTCTGCGTATTGGCTTATCTTCAGCCATTATTTCTTTCACGTCATCTAGGTACTTCTTATTGTATTGTCTTACTTCTCCCGTTGTCTGTTTTTATCTTCATATTTCTCCGTTTGGACTTTCGTTGCTGTTTCTATTCTATCGCACAACACCAGCTTAGCAATAAGACTGCTCGCCAACTTCTCGCAAGCAAGATTTTTAAAACGAAATTTAACTAATAAAATCAATGATCCCGTAGGTATAAAATGGAAACCATAAAAAAAACTGGAGGAGCAGGAATGATGAGAGACGAAAAATAAAGAAGTAGAATAAACGAGAAAGGAAGCTTAATTTACTTACGTTGCACAGTTCTTCGAACGTCACAGTTCCAAATGACTTTGACTGTAAATACTTATCTCTAATTCTTCTTCCAACTTTACCACTATTTTTTGTTGATAAGCCCTTAAAACCATTGGGTACTGAACCTGGACTTATATCAAAAACCACCGATATCCGTTTTACAAGATTTAGAACTAAAAAATATAATTTAAAATGGTATTGTTTGCTAGATAATAACATAAATACTAAACAATTTTTACATTTTTTACTTTATGAAAATTGTAATATGACTCGAAGTATTTTTTTAATACATATCATTTGATTTCCTCTTTGGAACTTGTTTTCTCGTTTTTTAGAATTTGAAGTTTTTTTTTGAAAATATCATTTGATATAAGTATGAAATAAAAATGCAACGTGACTTATACTTTTCCCAAAAAGTCCAGCTTCTGTTGTGGTCATTCCCATCAGGATCGGTACCTTTGAATATTTTTGTTGTCTAATAATTTCTGTAGGCGAGCTTGTTATAAAAGCTTCTTCGTGATCGACTTCAATGGTGGGTGTAAATGGAAGCCCCTCTTGTAGTGCAGTTAATATTTGCTGTAAAATAATATTTATTCATTAATATTAAACTCAACAGTGGATTATCATTGTGTCGAGCTTTCGACATCCTATTCGACGTCTTCTTCACGACTTCTGAGGTCTCAGTCTCCTGAGCCACCGGACACTACTACAATAATCATTAATAAATTTACTACTGTACTGGGAACACAGGACGATTCATTTATACCGTCGATAGTAAAGGTTTGCGTTACGGTTAGCGTGGGGGTTGGCCCGAACATTTTTAACAGTAGGATTCTTGATTGACGGATGGAGCGGACGATATTGTCTTATGCCGTATGCCGTCATGTCTTTTATTGAGAGAATTTGGTCTTTTTTCAATTTCTACGGCTTCTCGGATAATTCTTGGTTTATAGAAGACTCTTGGATGGGGGCTATGATACTGTAGTTTTCAAAATTAATTTTGAGACCTGTATGGAGATTGTGTTGACCTAGAGCTAAAATTGATTTAGAATTGCGAACAGAAATGGAATGTTCATAAATCCTATTTTGGATTTTACGATTTGTTTGGCCTATATAGGATCAGAAGCAGTCTGCACAAGGAATTTCATAAACTCCACGTTCTTAATTTGGGATGTTGTCTTTGATTGATCGGACAAGAGATGAAATTTTTTATTGAGGAATAAATATAGTCTTTATTCCTCTTAATTTAAGAGTTTTGTCGATTTTGTCAGTGACACCTTTGATGTGAGGAAGAAAAGCTTTCGTATGATGAGGGTCCAAGTCTTTAGGTTGAGATTGAGTGTGAGATTGATGTCTGTGGATGCTTCTATTGATGTGATTTTCGCGGTAACCGTTTTGGGCGAGGTCTTGTTTTAAACTAGAGAGCTCAGTAATTCTATTTATATCATCACAAAGGCGTATTGATCGGAACACAAGCGTATTAATGTCAGAATTAATGTGTGAAGATAAAAGCTAGTCGCAATGATAATCGACGCGGTTCAACCCGGAAGTAGTAATCTTGTTGTAGTATGAAATCTTATATGTTTTAAAAATTTTTTTTAATATTTTTGTTTGGATTTTATTATTTTGATTTGGCACAAAACTATTTTTTTAAAGTTGTACCTACATAAATAAATAATACAATACTTACCACGAATGTTACCAACAAGTTTGCACGTTTTAAATCAGTTATGTCAGCTTTTCTTAAATACTCGGCAAACTGACTAGAATTTTTCACGCCTATACCAAGATTCGCAGCCACATTCATAGCCACCGCTTTTGGATTTTGTTGATACGCCCATACAGACCTAGGTTCGGCGCTCATTGATATAGCTCTACTAAAAAGACCTTTACTCTTTGATGAGAGCATATGATACCATACGCTGCAGCCTCCAGCACTCTGTCCGGAAATCGTAATTCTATTTGGATCACCTCCAAATTTGACTATATTTTGATATGTCCAGCGTAAAGCAGCGTTTTGATCTTTTAGTCCATAGTTTCCAGGCAACACTGTATCCCCGGTACTTAAAAAGCCTGAAACAAATGTACCTCTAAAATACATATAGTAAAGTCATGATACTAAGACTTCCAAGATAAACCCACTTCGCAATCAAATTTTGTACATCGACGCGCATGACGTCAATTGGTGATAAAAGTCACTTTTATCACCAACCTTTTATCATCACAGTCGGTAAAACATATATGGAAAGAAAGGAGTTTTTATTTCAATATTTAGAATATTAAGGGATGTTAGGTACAATATCTGCAATTAAATCTTAAAAATATATTATATATACATCTCTGTTAGCCTAGCAATGTAAACTAAAATTATATAAAAAAGTAAGAACTAAACATCCTTTTGCAAATGGAAATTTATATACAATCGATTGATTTATTAAAATAAAAATTTAATACAACTGATAAAATAAAATACACTGTAATAATTTACAAGTTTATTTAACAATTTATTTTACAATTTTTAATATTTTCTTCTTCTTAACTTTGGATGTTTCTTTAATATATCTATTCAATTTTCTAATTTTAAAATATAATTTACACCTTTACTAACATTACATCTGAACACAGCTAAATTTATTAGCGATTTTAAATAATTCTTGGTTAATTTTAATGACCCTTTGTTAAAATTGTTAAAAATATGGTACAGTTCATTACATTTAATTAGAAAATCTGGATATAGTTTAAGTAAACCTCCTTCGGAAAGATGGTTTACCCAGTAAACCGATGTCAACGTACAAGATAAACGATAAAACAAAACTAAATCTCAAGGTTACTAGATATTTAAGTAGATACTTAAATATCTACTAACCTTGACTAAATCCATCGAGCAAAAAGACAATAGAGAGAATGTAAAGGTAGTGGGGGCAAACATATTGTTAGACAGGAAGTGCGATCTTTAGAGGCCACATTAAACAAGGGAAGAGAGCAAGGCTGCCAGGTCTAGGGATTTATCCCGAATCTAGGGATATTTCAGTATAAAAGGGACAAAGGGATTTTTTTGATATTTAGTGTAAAATCTAGGGATTTTTGACCGGCTCAAATATTTACCCACATAGTCCTATTATAATAACATTTTCTTTAATTCAGGTATAAAACCACTTCGTATTAACAGTATTAAATACACGATCTTTCATTACAACTAATTAAACTAACAGTAAACTACTTAAGGATTCTATTATCAGATGTCCACTGATGTTAACTGTCCACGTTCTTGGAAACTTTATTTTATGCTACCAAATAGATTTCTGTCAAAAGTAGATTCCTATATATTTTCAGAAAGAAGCAAATTCTGGAGGTGGAATTAGGGGATTTACAAAAGTCCTAGCTTTTATAAAATAAATAATTAGGGGATTTAAAGTAGGAATCGGGTGATTTACAGGATTCGTGAAAATCAATAAATAAAATTCTATGCTTCACCGTTTCATTTCTGTTCAAGTTGTATTTTGTATTAATTTTATTAAGTAAATATGTAAAGGATACGTACGTTATTCCGTTTTTGTTAAATTTATTCAAATGATCGCTATTGTACTGTTTATGAAATAAAGGTATAAAACAACAATTTTTTTATATAAATGTTATTATATTAGGCAACTATCAATACATCCCATAATTTTATTCAGAAATAGGCAACCATATATACATTTATTCCAATCTAGGGATTTCTAGGGATATTTAAATGTTCAATTTAGGGAGGACAAAAATTTTCACCTGGCAACCCTGGAGAGAGTCTCTCTCCTTGTTTGACATCAAATTTAGTTGGGTTATGTTATTGTTTGTCCCAAATGTCACATGAAATCTTATTTATATTGAAGTTTTTTAACAATTGTGTCGCATTTTAGACTCTTATTATTAATAATTAATTAAAACTTTCTCGTCTAAGACACATTCTGAAAAATATTATATAGCTACTGTTGATAAGTGTCGGAAAATTTAAATTTCGCGCATTCGCATTTCCGGATATGTCCGCCATCAGAGGCCACTTTTTGGTCTCCTTTTCATAACGATTAGATTCCCTCTTTTGTCTTATTGCTTTTTGAACGATTGTCAACGATCATAACCAATGTGATAAAAAGAAAAACGAAAAATATTATTTTTTAAACTTAGAGAGAAGAATATTGATATATACTACACTTCAAATGCCAAAGAAAAAAGAAAAATGCCAAATTATGTTAGTCCTAACCTAACCTAACCCGTTAACTCCTTAATTATATGTAGTAATATAGCTTTAGTTTTATTTAAAACAGTAAAATATTTGAAACTTACCAAACATTCCAAGTCTATAATTAGAAGTCACTACCACTAATCCATTTTCCAAAAGGTTGGACGGCCCATAATCTCCGGCCGATCCCTCATAAAATGCTCCACCATATATCCAAAAAATGACTGGCAGCAGCTTATTTGTCTTCGTTTGTGGCTAAAATCATATACAACATTAAATGTATTAATTAAAGACGAAATTACATAGTTCACTTTTGCCTTTTAATTTGGATGAAAAAAATTCAACAATTGATTCCTTTTTAAGTAATTTACCAGCTGACCAGAACATAGATTATGCGTTATGGAAAGCAACAAAAACAGATGAAGAGACCAATTATTTATTCTCCTCCTATCAAGTTGGAAAACGGCAACTGGGCTAGAAGTAATGAACAGAAAGCAGAACGACTTGCAGATCATTTAGAAAGCACGTTCAAACCCAACGAAAATGGTGGTAAAGAACTGAGATGGGAAAACCCGTTCCAAAGAATACCGTTGACATCATTTAGAGGAACAGAAATAAAAGAGAATATAAATCCTAAGAAAGCTTTAGGATATGATCTCATAACATAAGAGCTATTAAAAAATCTACCTATAAAAGCCATTATTAAACTGATACACCTAATAAATGCTGCTTTTAGATTGAGATATGTTCCCAGACTCTGGAAAGTAGCCGAAGTCATTATGATCGCCAAACCAGGTAAACCTCTTAATGAAGACCAATATCACTCGTTCTGGTGATGTCAAACCTATTTGAAAAACTTCTATTGGAACGATTAAAACCAACAATAGAAAGAACAAATCTTATAAATCATCAATTTGATTTTAGAAATAAACATTTCACTATAGATCAAGTTCACAGACTAACGAATATAACAGAAAGAATATTAAAAGAAAAGAAAGCTTTACAATCTTCTTAGACGTAGCACAGGTATTTGAAAAAGGTTGGCATGAGGGTTTAAATTATAAATTAAAAACGTCCATGCCTAAACAGTATTCAGAAATCTTAGAATTATACATTACGAACAGATATTTCAGAGTAAAACAAGAATAAGTGTATACCGATTTAAGGAATATCAAAGCTGGAGTGCCACAAGGGAGTGTTTAGGTCCGGTCCTATACGTATTGTATTTGTGTGACATTCCAGAGCTAGAACATAACCTTACTGCCATTTTCGCGGATGATACAGCCATATTAGAGATAGGAGACACTAGTGAAGAAACGACTGATAAGTTGCAACAATCAGTATATACATACATACCTGGACCATAAAATGGCGAATAAAATGAAATAAGACCAAAGCTGCACACATGAACAAATAAAAAATTTCTCAGTTAGAATAAATGATACCAAAGTTCCTTATGCAACATCAGCAAAATGCTTGGGCATCACCCTAGACGCGAGGCTGCGCTGGAAAGTCCATGCCAAAAAGAGAAGAGAGGAGCTTCATATTAGATATAAGAAATTGTATTGGCCGATTGGGAAAAATTCAACATTATCCATTCATAAAAATTATCCATTTACAAGCAAATACTATGATCAGTATGGTTATATGAATGCCAACTCTGGGGCTGTACCAAAGGTAGTAATCTACGTATTATCCAGAGATTTCAAAACAAAGTACTGAGGAACATTGCTCCTTGGTATATCTGTAACAGCAACCTCTACCAGGGCTTGGCCATGGAAACTGTGACCGAAGTAATGAAGAAAACGGCAGGAAGTCCCGAGCAGATCTGCATAGCCATGTGAATATCTAGGCAGTTCAGCTTCTTGACAACACTGAAGTAAAGAGAAGACTCATAAGGACACAACCATTTAAGTTGGTGTAAATGTGTAACAGTTTAGTGTAAAAAGCAGAGTATAGTGCTGACCAGATAGCAGTATGCAAACATCGTATAGGTGTTATATAAAAAAAACTGAATGAAACTACCAAATTGATCCATGTAAACATAAAAGTGAATCACTCCATGTCATTAAATGTTGTCGTTCAATGGCGTTAAAAGAATTGGAAGAAGCATGTTACATATTTTCACTACATCGTCTGAGCATCTAAGATGGTTCAAGCACAGAATAATAAACAATCAGAATTCCCACTCTCAGATGCCGCCTTTGAAGTTGTTCAGCACGCGCGCCATGTTTTAGAAGGAAACACATAACACAGACATATGATTTGTGAGGTTATGTAATTGTTAATATTTATGTTTAATTATATTATATTTAACAATGTTAATATACTTGTATAGTATGTCTATGATTGCCGTAAGTCAGTTAAACCGGGTTAATTTTTCTATGCACACCACATAAACAACACTGGTTCCCTCTAAAACATGGCGGAACGTCTGCGCGAAGGAGATGCGCGTACTTAATTTTCCATGGAGAGTGGGCATTCTGATTGTTGTGGTTCAAGTATATCTCGTTAATAGATATTCCCTTATTTTCCCAGTTTATTGACTTATGCTTAAGTAGATAATGCTCCAATCGATCAAGTGAAAGCATTTAAATACTTGGGAATGATGATGAATGACCAATGGGATCCTCAATAAGAAATAAAATGCCGTACCGAACAAGCAAAACAAGCTTTATCAAATTTAAACCGCTACAGGATGGTTAAATGTTTTTTTATTTCTTACTTCTTTAGGGAAACTCGTCTTATGCATATAAAGTTTTCACTTTTCAAAAAGCAGCAATCCGAATTATTGACTCAGCAGAATATCGCGGTTTAAAACGTATAGCATTCTTCCTTTACCTTCAATATATATATTTGAAACTTTGTTAACTGTTCATAATAATATACAAGATGTAAAAACACATGCTGATCAACATCATTACAATACAAGAAATAAAAGTCATATCATTATACCATATTCGAGATTGTGTTACACAACTTAATACAATAGATTATAATCTGTATAATTGTTTTTTAAACCTTAACAAAAATATTGATATTAAGGCAATGAATTCTAAACAATTTTATAAACTAGCAAAACAATTCCTGCTGGAACTCTGTTTCTATAGTATACAGAAATTTGTTTGTTTGAGCTACTAGTGTGGTCGTTTTTTATGAAAACTATATTACGCCTTACTGAAGTGTTTCTTTTTTTTATAATTTTATATATCAAATTTTCACTGTATATGTTTTATTATGTGTTCTTGTATTATTTCTTAGTTCTTAGTATACAAAAGTGACTTATTTTTATTGTGACATGACATGTAGTGTTTACTATGTAAAAATTGTCAATAAACCTATCTATCTATCTATCTATAATTAGAAACTTATAAATAAGGAGTATAAAAATAGTTTTTTCTTGTTACTTACTGTAAAAACATTAAGATAAAGGCAGTCTTCGTTACCATCCGTTGTAGGATTATTAGGAAATGGAATATGTACTTGTACGCATTCGGAACTTTTAACTGTAGCATCCAGTACACCAGTCCAAGGCTTTATTGGTTGCGGAGACTGTAATTTAAAGCACCTATTTAGAAAACTTAATTTATTGTGCTACAATTTAGTACTGTATAAAATTACCTATAATGAACTTCCTGTAGTGTTTAATAGCAAGAAATAAATACTTTATTTTTATAGTTAATTAGAATACAAACTCGCAAATTATTTATTTGCCATCATTTCAAAAAAGTCGAGGAGATGTGATATTTTTCAAATAATTAATCAATTATTTTGTTTAAGTAGTGATTATAGTACATTGTTTACCGGGTAGGAAAAGCTTAACATTCCTGGACGACTGTGAAGATTGCTAAGTCGAGGCGCAAGCCGAGACTTAGCAACACAGAGTCCAGGAATGTGGCTTTTCCTACGAGGTAAACACACTATTTTTCCGCAAATTGTTTAAAATTCGACAGATATTGATTGATTTAAAAAAAAACGCGATAATTTTATTACCAAATAAATGGTGCTTTGAAATTCCTAATAAAATTACTTGGGTTACTATGGAAACGTATTGAGGTTGAATTGTCAAACTTGACGCTTATAAATTTAATTGCTGGTGTTCTCGAAAGTAAAATGATAAGTGATGATGAAATTTCCATTCCTGGGACTCCTCCAGAGCTGGTTGAGGCAGTGAATACTGCTTCATTAGAATTATTGCCAAAGAAATCAAGAGAAAAGTACGAAAATGCATACAGACGTTTTATGGATTATCGCATGAGTAAAAATACGAGTTCTTTCTCAGAAAATGTTGTAATGGCATACTTCCTAGACCTTTGTTTAAAGATGAAATCTTCAACATTATGGGCCAATTATTCAATGCTGAAGTCAACCCTTGCACTTAAACACAATGTAGATATATCTACATACTCAAAACTTCGTTCTTTATTGAAACGGCAACTCATGGTTATAGGGCAAAGAAATCTAAGATTTTAACGAAGGAAGAAATTGAAAAATTTATCTAGAAAGCTCCAGATAAAGAAAATTTAATGATTAAGGTAATTTACAAGGTTTTAATTTCTATTTAGATTATAGCTTTATTTATTTTTTAGGTGGCTGTAATATTTGGTATTTCTGGGGCCTGTAGAATGGATGAGTTAGTCCGAATGACTGTACACGATATAGAAGACTTATGTTTATCGAAAGTATGTTTCGTTAAGACCAGAAAATATGAACAGTGACCGATTTTTCTTTAAATATCAAAGCGGAAAGGGTTGTAGACAAGTGGTAGGAATTCATCAATTTAGAAAAATGCCCAAAATAATTGCTACTTATGTGAACTTGGTAAATCCGACAGAATATACTGGTCACTGCTTTCGTCGGTCTTCTGCAACAATATTGGTTGACTCTGGTACCGACATAACTAGTTTAAAGAGGCATGGCGGATGGAAGTCATCAAACGTTGCTGAAGGATATATCGAAGAATCGCTTAACAATAAGGTTGAGGTGGCAAATAAAATTTTCACAGTACAAAATATTCAACAAAATGACACTTCCACCCTGCATGTTGTCCAAAATGTTTCTCATAGTTCTAAGAGTGTTCCTCCAATGTTCAATAGTCGTACTAACTGTCAAATTACTGTAAATATAACAAATTGATCTTAAAAATGTATTCAGCAATGACTTGATGTTTTCAAAATATAAATTAATTCCTTATAAGCAATGTGTTTTCTATCATTTATGTAGAACACTAACAACTGTACGGAAATATCATTTCCTTACAGTAAGGAAATGACATTTCCTTACAGTAAGGAAGTCCTGACTTTTTCTTCAAGAAATTTTGACAGGAATGTCAAAATTTCCTGGAGATTTGCGGAAAAAATATTTACTTAAATACAGTAGACTCACTCTATAACGAGAACTGAAATGGCAAACTAATTACCTCGTTATAAGCCGATCTCGTTATATCAGACAACAATAATACTGTGCATACATATTGAATATGTAGTTTTCTAAAACATTAAATATTGTTTGAATGGCATTTTTGAAAAAAAGTTGTTTACTTTTATTGTCAATAAAACAAAAAAGAGTTGTTTACTTTAATTGTCAATGATATACTACTACTTACACGAAATCTTAAATCGCCTAATGGGGGTTGTGCAAAAGGAATGCCTTCATAGGCGAAGTATGGAAGACCTTTGATTGTTATTTTTTTACTGCCTTGTATTATTCCATGTGTGGTAGATACTTGAAGGGAACAATTCTAAAATAATAATATATGTAATAAAAAAACTCCAACATCGACGTAAAATAAGTGGTATTTAATCCAAATGGATTATAATAAAGTTCAGAACGTTTTCGGAATAATTAATCCATCGTCAGTAAACGTAAAAATCAAATAGTTATTAAGTTACCCTTTTGAAATGGACCTAGCTAATCGGTCATTGAAATTGTCATTCCATCAAGTAGCAACGATATGCGAAGCATCAATATAAGTTTCTTCCATTTATACAAACATATTCGCCTCCTGTAGATCCAGTTTCTTTAAACCATTTATTCTATTATTCGTTTTAGTTAACAATGAACAAAATAGAACAAATCTGTGATCAGTACTGTGGCACACCCGGGGAGGAGTTGGGGGGTTAACCCCCCCTTCCCGCAGGGCATATAAAGTAAAAAATAAATAAGGAATACTAATTGTTAGTAAAAAATAATTAAGGAAATTGTTATTTTTTTGACTTTTTGTAAGCTTTGTCCATAAAATTGCACAATTTTCAGTGACAATAAAGCCTATTTCTTTACAATGGTATGGAAAATCGAATATTGTAGCCAACATGATATCCAACGATCGACAACGATTATGGAACTAGAAGAATTAAAATATCATAGAATCGATTAAAAGTACAAGACAAGGATATAAGATGGGAGAAAAACAAATAAGATCCTCTGTATGTAGATGATGCATTCATCATCTAGAATCCTCTGTATGTAGATGATGCATTCATCATGATGCAGAAATAAGAAAATTGAGGTCAATAACTGGGAAAACACGGGGAAGAAGAAAAAAGTACTTACATGTCGATTTTTAGGTAAAATGTTTAAACAGTCTCGGCATCCAATATTTATAATGCACACAATTGAATAAAAATTAATGAGTTTACTTGAAAACATGTTTTACTAGAAGTAACTTAGTATAACTGTTGTTTGATTAAACATTTGCTATAAATATAGTCTTTGCCACGTGAAAACTCTTAGTAGCCTTCAAACTTCTAAAGTAGACATAATGTTATTCGAGTTAATTAATTGATGATGAGACTTTATTTGCCTATTAAATAATTAGATAAAATTAAAAATAATTATTCGACTGTAAAAATTATTATATTAAATTCATAAATAATACATTTCAGTCAATTTTTAATCGAGATTTAGACTTTAGTCACATTTGTGGCCTGTTGACTACATAAATCACATCCCTATTGCGTACTGTACCACGTTTTCCGTAAAAACTTTGTTTTCTTATTACCACCACGTACCTAATCTTATTTAATTCGCACGACTCTGGAATTATACTCTCTAAAGACTAGGCGGGATTTGTAGAAATTCAGACCATAATGGACATTTTCCATAGGAAGATATTTTTTGCTGGAATCCCTTCAGGATGTGCCCAATATGAATAATCACGATATGCGCCAGTCGCAAACCCTGTGCTAAATTTTTTATTTAACAAAATCTGAAAACAATTGAAAATTTCTCATTTTTTTTGCTACTATTTTCGTTTAAAATTCGGAAAATATTGATCCTAGAGAAAAAATTTAATGTTTATTGTTGAAAAAAATAGCAATAATTAAAAAAAAGTACAAAAAAATGAAGTTAATCCTTTAAATGTTTTCGACTTTCTACACTTGACTTACAAGCTCCATATTCCGCCTAGAAAAACTTTTTAATATGTTTAAAACGTGTGCTAAATTTTTTCAATATCGGTCGGATAGGTTTTGCATAATAATTTTTCAATAAAGCCTACTGTAAAAAAATCGCAAATTTTCAAATTTATGGTAGACCCTAAATAAGGCCCTCAGATAGTTGCAAATTTTTGTACATACAAAGGAAGGCTCAAACTTTCAAACGCTTCTCATTACCCGTAATCTTGATTCGTCCCTACGATATCGCATGATAAAGCAGTGGCGGCTGGTGATTCAAAAATTTGGTAGTTCTGCAGTATTTTTTGGTTTTTTTTTAATTCAATATCTTTTAATCGTTGTATTTTACAACGAGGCTTTTAGTTTGATATTTTACACCATATATTTATTCATTATATATCTATTAAAAAATAATAAAGAACTTACCGATTTTCTTCTTTTCAAATTGAAGATAAATCCAATTATATCAAAAATAGCAATGGTACATTATGGCACACTAGTAATTGTTTTATAGTTTATGTTTTTAGTAGAATTTTATCGATAAATACGCGAAACTAAGGAATGCAAACGAAAAAAGTGTTTTTTCTACTGACAACATGGTTAATGCTACAAGTCGGTCTTCAGTCATGGAATTTCTCAAGAATGTTTTAATCCGTTTTAAACTCGAAAAGCACCTTTCAGCTTCTGCCGTACTCATGGGCACTGTAATTAGAATTTGAAGCAGTTTTACAGTTTCTTGAAAAGGCTCTGTTAAATTATTTTCAATTAAAAATTTTAAAAAAAGGTATTGCCCCATTAATGTCTCTACAGTCTCTTCTAAAATAAATAACAGATCATTCAGTCTTCAAGCGCTCCCTATCTAAATTTGGATATGACGCGCAAGTCAGGCTTAAAATAGCATCTGGGAAATTATCACAATAATTATCAAATTGCTCAGGATAAAGCAATGAAGTTGCAAGTAGGTGCAGACTTCGATAGATGCTCTCCGATGATCTACTGGACTGTTATCCTTCCGTAACCTTTTAGTTGGTAATGGTTCAACGCATAAACTAGAACCTTGGTCAATGGTATCATCTATTGAATTTCTAACTGAATTCATGTATCTCTCGAAATCTGTCACCTTTTTATTGATTTCCAAAGGATCCGTTTTAGTCTTTTGAAGGGCATTATACAAAACGTCTACTTGTGGCATTATGCGATGAAAAAATGTTAACCAAAAAAAAATTTTGATCCACTAGTATTCTTCGAATGGAAGACGCTGAACTACAGACAGCTGCCTTATCAAACGATTCTTCTATTTCTTCCATACATTCGATAAAAGAAGATCGATGTTCAAACACAACATTAACAGTTCGAATATTGAAGTTCCAGCGAGTTGGAGCGCCATGAGGAATTTTCTTTTGGACGATTTTATCTAAAACTGCCACTCGTTGTGGCGAATTTTCAAAAAGGTAGGGATTTCATTTAAATTTCCAAAAAAAAGTCCAACTTGAGAGTTTTCGGAACAAGCCTTAGACATTATTAAATTTAATTGATGCGCGTAACAGTGTACAAAATGAGCAAAAGGATATTTTTCTTTGATTCCGGCTTGAACTCCTGAGTGCTGTCCACACATGACCGCTGCCCCATCATAACTCTGAGCAATTAGTTTATTATTTGAGTTTTCCAGGATAGGATCCAAAACACTGAAAATGTTTTTGCTTAAAGTATCTGCATTTAATTTTTAAGGTACCAAATATGTCCAAAATCGTTCTACCGGTGCTCCATTTCGACAATATCTAAATACTACAACCATTTGTGATTTTGCTGAAATGTCTGTAGTCTCGTCGGCCATGACAGCTAGATATGGAGATTCCCGAATTTCCTCCAAAATTTTATCCTGGCATAATTCCAACGTGCAGTCCAAAATATCATTTTGAATTTCTTTAGAAATGCCCTTAAAAACCGTCGATTCTTCCAAGTGTTGTGCTAAAGCTCTATCCAATTCAGCAGTAAAATTTATGAGGCCGCGAAAAATTGCTGGATTGTCGGATGTCTGTGTCTCGTCGTGTCCCCGAAGCGCCAATTCGAAAACACTACTAAATTTTATGCAGTCTATAATTTTTGAGAGAACATACCTATTTTTTGTTACAGCTTCATTGAATTTTTGAATATTTATCCAGTATGCAGAATCTAACTGTTCTTTAATATTCACGGAGCCTAATAAAGCATATTCCATTTGATTGTGCAAATGATGCTTAGAAGTTTCGTGCTTTTTTATTTTATCACTTAAATGTACTAAGTCTGTTACACCAACTTGCGTCCATGACTTATCACCTCCAAAGAGTACACAAGGAAAACAGAAAAGAGCGTTTTTTCTGTTGCAGCCACATATCCAACTATTTCTCGTATAAATATCGCAATTAAATTGTCGTTTGTAATTTTTCCCTCGGCTTGATCCTTCTTTTTCGATTTTAATATCCGGCAAAGGACGTCCTTTGCATTTTAATTCTAGTTTTTCGTCATAAGAATATTTAAAGAATCTCTTAACATTAATCAAATTATAAATAACATCCATCCTGAACAGCACTTTTATTCTCATATACTTAATATAAATACCGAATTACGTGCAGGACAACTTATTTTAACAGTCGTCGTGTCGCGATCACCGATTATTTAAAATTACAATAAACGTAGGTTTGTACACACTAGTTCGAACTGCCACAAATGCAGCTCAAATATTGCTTTCAGTCGTCGCCTGAAAAGTGTTGGCAAGGGGTTGAGCCGGTGTTATCGGGAATATATTTAACAGTTCACAGCTCGGAGTAGCACCGGTCCGGTCAAATAAGTGTGACTTGCTGTCGTCATGAGATGCGACGGACGACAGATTAAAATAAAGGCGGCCATGCACGAAAACCATCTAAATGAATTTAGATTTTATAAGTAGTGATATTTTTTATTTAATTTTCAAAGTAATTTTGTTTGGATTATTTTGGTGGTTCTGCAGTTCCGCAGCACTTATATACCAACCGCCACTGTGATAAAGTGTTATGTATATAGTGTACTATTACAAGGCATGGAAGCTTGGGCGTTAACAGTCAGCTCGTTACGACGTTTAGAGAGCTTTAGGATGTGGGTATTTCGTCGTATGCTGAAAATTCCATGGACCGACCGCGTTAGAAATGAAGAAGTTTTAAGTTGTATGAATAGAGAACGTGAACTCGCAAAAATTGTCAAGAAGCGTAAAACGTCTTATCTTGGACACATATTTAGACACAACCGGTATAACTTCCTTCAACTTATTATAGAAGGACAAATAGAAGGCAGACGCGGCTCGGGTAGACGACAAATGACCTGGCTGCGCAACATCGAAGATTGGACAGGATTAGACTTTCAAACTTTAATAAGGAAAGCCCAAAATAGGGAAGACTTTGCAGAGGTCATCGTTAACCTTCGCTAAGTAGACGGCACGCAAAGAAGAATATGCACATAGCTTCTCAGATTCTAACTCCATAGCATTGATACAACTCAAAATTGCAGCGCCTGCGCCATATCCCGCTTTCTTGTACTTCTCCATATACAGATTGAACCAAATTAAAACGGAACATACAATTTAATACATGTCTGTTTGAACTGCATTTGAAATAGTGGACCAATATAAAACTCGGACAAAAATAAATCCATACCTGGGTATAGACATTGTATAAAATATCGTTCTACTATCTGTCTCACAACAATGTTGTTTGCGTAAGACGGGTTTGTCTAAGGAGGCGATAATAGTTCAGGAATTGAAGCTCGAAAAAAGTTAAAACCTCGCAATTTTTTCGTCCTGCATGTATCCAGTTGAAATTTTAACAGAAGGTAGGTGATAGCCCAAGGATCAAAATCTATATCGAACCGAAGTGCGCTAAAGGGTTTTAGGGGTGAAAACTACCCCTAATTGTCAAAAATTATAAAATAACATATTAAACCTGAATATGGGTAAGATTTGGTTTGAATTAGTTAAATAATGATTATTTTATACTTTTGAATAGAGTTCCATCATATTTCAACCCTTAAAAAGCAACCCTTGTTAGAGATTAATGTAAAAAAATTACTAATTCTAAAAAAATGATTTCGCCTTGGATCGATTTGGATAAAAATTTGGATTTAAGCTCAATTCACCCGCTGCTTTATAGTTTATGTCATGTCGACGAACCCTGATTGTTCTAAGGGGTGAAAACTACCCGTAATTGTCAAAAATTATAAAATAACATATTAAACCTGAATATGGGTAAAATTTGGTTTGAATTAATTAAATAATGATAGTTTCGTGCTTTTGAATAAAGTTCCATTATATTTCAACCCTTAAAAAGCGACCCTTATTAGAGATTCATATAAAAAAATTAGTAATGCGAAGAAAATGATTTCACCTTGGAACGATTTGCATAAAAATTTGGAATTAAGCTCAACTCATCCTCTGCTTTATAGTTTATGTCATGCCGATGAACCCTGATAGTTCTTAGGGGTGAAAACTACCCCTAATTTTCAAAAATTGTAAAATAATATTATAAATCTTAAGATGAGTGAAATTTGGTTTGGATTAGTTAAATAGTGATTTTTTTATACTTTAAAATACAAATTCATACATTTTCAACCCTTAAAAATCAATTGTTATGAGTGCTATAGGTGAAAACAATTGTTTGCCAAAATTTTGCAACTTTTCAACTTTTGAAAATCACCCTTTACAACATTGCAGTTTTTATAAACTAATTTATAAGATATAAATTGAAAAAAGTAGAATTAAATACAAAAAAATTTATCAACATAAAAAGGCACCATATATTCTTATACATTTACATAAATAGTTGAAAATATTTACATTTATAGGTAAAACAATTATAATATTAATTTTATTCGTCATCAATTACATCTTCATCGTGATCTATGTCATCCTCATCTTCAATTATTGGTGGACTATTATTGCACCCTTCACCTGAGCACCCAGAACAAGTAGAGTTACAGTATAAACCAACTTTTCTGCAACCAGATGAAACACCGCATCCTTTTTTGCATTGCCGAAAAATAATTTTCAAAAGTTTATAAAGTGCAGGTTGTTTGTTCATGCGTACGGGTAATAAAAAACCATCTTTGGAATACCATCCCCAATCTGTTGCTCTAATATTTTCATTGCCAAGCCATAGACATATGAGCAGATGTTTTATTCTGTTGTATGGGATTTCAAAATAAGAACGCTTAAAATTTCGAATGTATAACGCCCCACTAGCTAATATACCGGTTTTGTAGATTATTATGCTCCGAAATGTACTGTACTATACTAATAGAATTTTCCGGATAAAAAATTCACTGGTTTTTTTTAACGTATTTCCATTAATTTTTAACGATAGAGTGTTTCTTCAAAAACGATTTGTAGAGGTTTTTAAGAGCTACAAGGATCTGTGAATTAAATCTTTTTGGAACCCTTGGTTTTTAAATGGGGTGAGTTTAAAGGGCTCGAAAAAATGGTGCTTGATCGTAAATCGATGCTTTTAAACGGCTATATCTCGCCAAATATTCATTGTACAACAAATCTAAATGAAGGATAATTTTAGTCATTAAAAAAGCTACAATTTGGTAATTTGTATTTTTTTCATATATTCAGTATTTTCGGGCATATTTAAAAAAAGAAGGGTAAAAAATATGAAATTGTAAATCGTTTCTAGCTTTAAGCTGTACTTTTTCTAACACAAAGCATTTTAAATGGGTCAAACTTCTTGGACGTATTAACAATACATGTACAAAGGGAATTTCAGAAGGGTGAAGATCGAATATAATTATGGGGGTGGTTAGGGGGTTGTTTTCATCGATTTTTTCGTAAAAAATGAGGTATTGACCTTATTTTCATCATAACTCACTCAATTTTTGAGCTAGAGTCTTTTTTATGATAGGTCTATTTACGCTCTTTAAAAAAGGTTTTGTGAGTTTTCTTCCAAAAATGCATCATTTTCCCGATATTTGATTTTGTATCTTTCAAATTTGGCATTTGAAGAAAACCGCTGAACATTGATAGGCCGTATTTCGGTTCCTATTATATCCCAAAAACATTTTAAAAAATGAATTGTATTTGTCTTTTTAAAAGCTACAAATTTGTTCTCTACAATTTTTTTAATAAAATGCACCATTTTCGAATTATTCGCCAAAAATCGATTAAAAACGTGGATTTTTTCGTCTAAAACTTATTACTTTCAATCGCGAATAACTTTTCGCGAAAAATATCATTTTATAAAAAAAATGTATAGCACATTTTTTGTTTAGAATCACTTTTTTAATCGAAACCTGTAAAACGTAAAAAAAAATTTCACCCCGGAGATGGGGTGGCAACCACCCCCTAGTCTTTGGCGCACTTTGGTTCGATATAGATTTTGATCCTTAGGCTATTACCTACCTTCTGTATTACCTACTTTCAAGTCAATCCAGGGAGCACGAAAAAATTGCGAGGTGAAATGCTACATTTCCTGGACTATAACTGGTTTGACACCATAATAAAATCGTAGATTTATGTGTAGCTTTCAATTTTTATGAGTTCAGAATCCAGCAGCCCGCTGAAGTACAGCAGAATTGAGCCGAAATACATTATATTCCTATGTTCCGAATTTATTTCGTTCAATCTGTATGTGACTAAGTATTCTTCTTTCAAAGCGGCCTAACAGTTCTTCGTCGCTTTTTACCATAGTCCATGTATCTGACGCGTATGTAAAGACAGGTTTAATAAGGGTTTCATATATTAGTATCTTGGTTTTTGCTGCTAATTATGTGTGATGTTAAGAACTGCTTTAGTTCAAAGTAAGCTCTATTTGCCAGGTATATTCTTCTCTTAATTTCTACGCTCATAGAAAAAAAAACGCTATTGTGTCGCTTATAGTACAATTAAAAAAAAGATATATTAATACTATAAAAGCTTTATTGTAGTAATAGGTCTGTGTGTATAATAAAAAATGGTTTAAATTTTCATATTTTGAAGAAATTCTTTTATTTCAGTAAAATCCAACCTAGATCCTGGAAGGGGGTCTAGCATAAAGTTAGCTACAAATAGGTGCAATCGTTCCCTAAAATGTATGAAATATTATCAGATATTTAATTTTGTTTAATATATCTTATAATATTGTCTTTATTATATCTAATATTCCTTACGTGATGTTATCTCGACATAACCTATATGTCTCCATTCGTTTCTTCAATATAGTGTGAAAACAACATCCCATAGTCCAAACATCAGTTTTGTATGATTTTACAGGCCATTCCGGAGGATCAAAGAAATGACGTGGCAAAAACACCTTAAAAATACAATAAAATTAACAGATTTTTAATAAATATATATGTATACAGGGTGATAATTTCACTGAAAATATATAAATATATATTTTCAGTGGATCGCGTAGCAGTGAAAATCCCACCGTTCTGGGCCAGCGAACCTGAAATATGGTTCCTGCAAATGGAAAACCAATTTGCACTAGCAAACATCACAAGTGACGCAACAAAATTCAATTATATAGTTGTTAATCTAGAATCAGCATACATATCCGAAGTAAGAGACATAATTGTATCATCACTAGCTACAGACAGGTATGTAAAGCTAAAAATAGAATTAATTAAGAGACTCAGTGCATCACAACAAAAAATTAAAAGATTACTCGAGCATGAAGAATTGGGCGATCGAAGACCTTCTCAATTCTTACTACATTTACAGTCTTTAGCAGGCAGAACGGTACCAGATAGTATTATAAGATCTCTGTGGTTAGATAGACTACCATCCTCTATACAGGCTATTTTAGCTATCCAATCAAACGCTGATTTAGACACAGTTGCCGAGCTAGCAGATACAGTTTTCAGGTAGCTGAAATAAAAATTCAGCTAGCTAACATAGCAACTGCTTAACCACAAATCAATACATACCGTTGTAACTGCAGCACCTCAAGAGGAAGACCATACCGTAGAAACAGAAGCCACAGTAACGAACATAATAGTGACATATGTTGGTATCACTACCGTTTTGGTGATAGTGCTCAGAAGTGCACACCTCCGTGCAAGCAGCAAGAAAGCACCTGGTGCTTGCACGGAGCTAAACTAAAAAACAATATCTAATCGACACCGGAGCAGATTTGTGCGTGTTTCCCAGAATTATATACGCGGCCAATGATACTGTAATCGAAACATACGGTTATGTTAACTTGACATTAAATATCAGAATAAGGCGTGATTTTACGTGGCGTTCATTACAAAGCCTATAATAGGAGCTGATTTTTTGTCACATTTCGCTCTCCTAGTAGATATTGCTAACCAGTGCTTAATAGACAGTACTACAGAACTAAGCGACTCGTTAAAGATTGTTTCGATACCAGCATAAAGACAATCGCGAAAGTGTCGCGTTACCATATGCTGTTAGCTCAGTTTCCGGAAATCACGCAACCCGCCGATATTCTGAAAGATGTTCAACATCAAACCAAGCACCACATCGATACAACACCAAGTCCAACCGTGTTTTCTCTAAGCCTCGACGATTAGCACCTGACAAATTGCAATGGGCTAAAAAAGAATTCGAAAATCTGCGACTAGGTCCCGAAGGAAGTGAGGAATGGAGACCCTGTGGAGATTATCGACGTCTAAACCAAAGGACACACTTCCAGATCGATATCAAATTGCACACATCGAAGACTTTGGTCAGTCGCAAGCTGATAAGATCATTTTCTCTACAATAGATTTAGTTAGAGCATACAACCAGATACCAGTAGCCACCGAAGATATACCAAAAACTTCAGTTACCACACCATTTGGACGGTACGAATATTTATACATGCCTTTTGGTTTAAGAAACGCAGGACAGACCTTCCAACTAATTACTATTTAACTGGGAATAAGCCACAATTAAAGATAAAAAAATACGTTTATTGACGTTTCAATTTCCACTTTGGAAATCGTTCTCAAAATACAAACAGTAAATTAAACAAAGTTTGTTTTTTTGTTACATAGTGAAAAATTCTTCTAATAATTTAATTTTATCTGACTCATTTATATTGACAATTCAGACATACATTATGCATTTTAAAGTAGACGACTTTAAAATGATATTGCCAATATTATTGAGTTGCGCTCCTGGGACGACTTTACTTATCAGATGGTTCATTCGATTACATGAAATCAACTTTACCTTGAGAATATCCGTCAGAAAAAAATCATAGCATGTAATTCGTCTTTAAAAAGACAAACACATGACATGATGACAGTAAAATTCTCCTGTTAGTGATTCCATAGTAAATCATGAGGGAAAAACCAGGAAAAAACCCTCATAATTCTATCCCGACATGGTAAGTATTTGTTCGTATATTTAGTTTACCTTCAATAAACACCAAAATTATGATTTTATATGTTTCGTTATTTAAAAAACATAAATGATGTATCCTCTATATGTTACTGACTTACTAATACTGGTATTTTCTTATTAATAACTTCCTCTTTCTATATTGGTAACCAGATCATACTACATTGTGCCCAGGAATTTGCGACACAATTGGCCTCATTTAACATAATTAGAGCCGTTTCTTTGATTTTTCTTTTTTTACCATCTGTTTCTTTTAGGACCACATTTGAATTATTCCATTGAACCCTATGTTCATTATCCCATGCGTGTTTACATATTTGAGATCTATCAAATTCTCTATTTTTAATATAAGATTGATGTTCACTTATTCTAACATTTAATGGCCTTGATGTTTCACCTAAATAAAACTGATCGCATTCACAAGGTATTTTATAAATGCAATTCTTTGTCCTTTCTTGTTCATTGTTAGGTTTGGTTTTGGACAAAATAGATCTCAACGTGTTTGTTGTTTTGAATGTTGTTGAAATCTTGAATTTATTTCCTATCCTTTTAAGTTTTTCTGATAAACCTTTTATGTACGGTATTGTTATTTTCCTCGTATTATTCCTTGTGTATGCTGTAGGATCTCGTTCTAAGTTGTTCTGTTCTATTCGATCGATTGTTGAAATTCCTTATTTATAAACGATAAAGAACAATCATTTTTTAATAAAACAGATGTTAACAAATGTTTCTCCTCCAAGAACGAATTTTCGTTAAAACAGGTAATTTTGGCTCTATCGTATAAGGATTTAATTATTCCCTTTTTTATATTAATAGTGTGATTTGATTTGAAATTTAAATATCTATTAGTGTGTGTTGGTTTTCTATACACCTGAGTCTTATATCCAGTATCGTTCTTAGAGATTAAAACATCCAGGAAAGGTAGCGTGTTATTATATTCCTTTTCATGGTAAATGTTATTGTCTTTTCTTTATCGTTTATATCATTTAGGAATGTGTCCAATAACTCTGATCCATGAGGCCATATTGAGAATACATCATCTACATACGAGTATTCACTTGATATTCAAGGTAAATTAACGCAAGTAGAAATCTAAAACATGTCTGGACGTGGTAAAGGAGGCAAAGTTAAGGGAAAAGCAAAGTCCCGATCAAATCGTGCTGGTTTACAGTTTCCAGTAGGTCGTATTCATCGTCTGCTGAGAAAAGGGAATTATGCCGAAAGAGTTGGTGCCGAAGCTCCTGTATACTTGGCAGCTGTTATGGAATATCTAGCTGCTGAAGTTTTGGAATTGGCAGGAAACGCAGCGAGAGATAACAAGAAGACCCGTATCATTCCTAGACATTTACAGTTAGCTATAAGAAATGACGAGGAATTAAACAAATTGCTTTCAGGATTTACCATCGCCCAAAGTGGAGTATTGCCCAATATACAAGCAGTATTACTACCCAAGAAGACCGAAAAGAAAGCTTAAGATCTGTACTATTTTCCCTTTTTATACAATTTTTTTATCTTTAATTGTGGCTTATTTCCAGTTAAATAGTAATTAATTTAAAATGCCACAAGAAAATAGCTTCAGAACAATATTAATAGACCTTCCAACGCTTCACAGATGAAATTTTACGTGGTCTTGATTTCGCCTACGCCTATATAGATGACATTCTCATTGCATCAGAATCCGAACAGCATATATCGCATTTAGAAGAAATTTTTAAAAGACTTAAGCAATTTGGCGTTTTGGTTAATCCAGCAAAGTGTCAGTTCGACTCGCAAAAACGAGACTACATTTTTGGGATATACAGTATCACCAGCAGGACTCAAACCTCCCCAACAAAAAGTAGCAGCTGTACAAAATTTCACTCATCCTAAAACAGTGAAAGACCTGAGTAGATTTCTAGGTATGTTGAACTTCTACCGAAGGTTCATACACAATGCAACTGAGCTTTAAGCACCACTACATGATGCCCTAAAAGGAAATGTCAAAGGAAAAGCACCAATTGAATGGACACCACAGCGAATCCAAGCCTTTGAGGACTGCAAAAGTAGTTAGCTACTTTACTGAGCCACCCTGTAAACGATGTTGATATCTCCATCACTTGTGCCACTCCATCTAGGTCTAGCACGATTAAGTAATAAGAATAAAAAATACACTTCAGCAGAACTAGTTCACAGAGTTTATACAAAAAATCCATTAATTAACAATGTCTAATGAAAATATGTCTAAAATAATACAAATCCGAAGAAAAATTGCTAAAATAGGTCAATTAAAAAAAATACTCACCGACTCGTATTCTTGATTGGAATCACCTACATAAACAGCCTTACCAAACCCTGCTATTTTATATTCATTTTTATCGTTGTAAAGACAATGCTGGAGGTGTAAAGTTCTATGTATAATTTTTTGAGAATGTACGTACTCCATACCTGTAGATAGGTCGATTAAAATTTTTCTTACGTTGTATATATCTAAACTAACAACCTGGAAATAAAAAATAATAATTGAAGACACGAGTGGATGAAGGTGCTATGTAACATTTTTCTAAAAACGGTTTTTTTTTGTATGGATGAAGGTATTATGTACCTGTTTATCACGTGGCCACATTAGAATTCTAAGATTCGTAACAGAAGTCTAGGTTTTTTAAAGGATGAAGGAGTTATGTTACATTATTTTCCAGTGAATAATGGAAGAAGGTGTTATAGGCACAAAATACCTTCATCCACATTCATGTAATATTTTGTATACCTTCGTCATATGAATGATGGTGTTAAGTGACACACATAACCCCTTCATCCACTCACTGGCCATTTTGTTTTACTTGGTGAGTTGGTATTGCGCGCACGTGTTCTGTGTCATTATTACAGTTTTTTGCAGTAATATCATAATATTAATGCTAGTTAACATTTATAACGAGTTCCAGAGGTAAACAAATGTTAAAACTAGTGCAGGAACAAATAAAACTGTGAACAAAATTTGCCAAATGATGAAAATGAATTCACAGCAAGTTCTAACCTCAACATTGAAATTTCAAATGTAACAGGTAAGTGCAATCCTGTTGTTATGAAATAATTAAGCTTTATTATATTTTGGGCAATAGGTATTTAGATCATAATATTTATATAAAAGTGTAAATGAGCTGGTTGAAATACATAAGCCAACTATCATCTGTTATAAATATTTACACTTGATTGCTCCGGGGATTCCCCTATCTTTTCAAAAGTAATTTTTAAACAATAATAATTAGGAAGAATTAAAATATAAGTATAAGTAAATAGCTGTTTTTATTTTCAGATTTGGAGGGGACCCAACCATTCTTGTCAGACAGCAGTGGTGATGCTGAATACTTTCCGAGTAATGAACGAAGCAGTTCTTCAGGAACTAGTGTCACGGAGGACGAAGAAAGAGCGGACCACAGTCATGTAAAAAACCTTATTGGAGGTACATTCATTTCTGGAGACAAAGAAGGAAGCGGGATTATTCAAAAGCCTATAATTAATCCTTCTAACGGGTCTAACGAGGTTGACCAAGAAAATGAAAAACAAAGAAAGCAAAAGATTTTTTCAACGACACCAAAAGTTTCCAAAAAACGAAAACGAGATCCAAATACGTGGAAGAAACGCAAAGCAGCTTTAGATAGAGCAAAAGGTGAAGAATATTTGTCTTACAAAAACATTCCCGTTCCAAGAAAGGAGCCAGAAAAAGGTATTCTTTGTAGACAAGGCTGTAGATTTTCTTGTAGCACTAAATTTTCAGCAGATGACAGGAAGGCATTTTTGGATGAATTTCATAGACTTGATATTAATGCAAAAAATGCTTTACTATTTAAATCAATCATTAAAAAACCAGTGTTGAGGGAAAGAAAAGATGCTGTTAAACATAAAACTGCGTCATATACGTATAACGTTACAAAAAATGGAATTACCGTAAAGGTGTGCAAAGAAGCGTTATGCGCTCTATACCAAATAGGCAGAAAAAAACTTGATGTTATAAAGAATCGTATAAATAGTGATGTAGCAGCACCTCCTCCAGATCGCAGAGGTAAGCACTCCAATAGGCCACACAAAATAGGCCAAGATGTTAGGGATTTTGTGATAGAGCACATAAATAAATTTCCTGTAGAAGAGTCGCACTATTCCAGAAATAGAAATCCTCATAAAAAATATCTTTCTCCCCTACTAAATGTGAGCAAAATGTATGAGTTCTATCTTGAGGAATGTAATCTGGCACAACTTCCTGGAAAATTTAGAATTAAAAAATGTTCATATTCCAACATTTTTTCGCGAGAGTTTAATTTATCATTTGGGTATCCGAAAAGTGATACGTGTAGTATCTGTGATGGAGGTGAATCTAACGATGGACATAAAGAAAACTACACAGCATCAACTAAAGCGCTCAAAGTTGACAAGGAAAAAGCAAAAGATTCAGACAACTTGGTATATATTACAATCGATATGCAAGAAACAATGCCACTGCCAAAAATACCAACGTCCAAAGCATTTTACCTTAGGCAAATGTGGTTTTATAATTTTGGGGTGCATATTACTACAAAAGGCCTAGACAAAGCATGTTTTTGTACCTGGACCGAAGATCTTGCAAACAGAGGAAGTGCAGAAATATGCAGTTCTCTACTCAGATATATTGAAGTCGACAAAAGCATCACCAAAAAGAATTATCTGATCATCTGGTCCGATTCATGTGCGGGCCAGAACAAGAACTTCCACATGATTTGCCTTTATCGGTATCTTATTTTGAAGGGATACTTCCATTGTATTGACCACAAGTTTCCTGAGGTTGGCCATACTTACTTAGATTGTGACAGAGACTTCGGAAGAATAGAGAAGGTTTTACGAAAACACGACACGGTATATGTACCAGATACGTACCGGGAAATAATATCAAAGGCTAGCCGAAAAATCAAGTCATCGACATGGCTTAACACTTTAGAAGGATTGCTGATCTACCGCAAAAACTTAATCTTACTAACAGAAAAAAGGACGAACTAAATGAAACAGTCAGATTTAGAGACGGTATTAAATGGATAAGAGTGGAAGAGTATGGTTCCTATTTGTATAAAGAATCATATGACGAAACAGTTCCTTTTAGAAAAGTAAATATTCTTCAAAATAAGAATAGAACAGCAGCGCCAGAGAATATTGAAATCGAAAGAATTCGGGAGAAATATGGAACTATCTCTGAAGAAAAAAGAAAAAATCTCCAAGAACAGCTTAAGTTTGTAAAACCAGAATATCGATATTTCTATGAACCAATCTTAGAAAAAAAATAATGTATTACGTTATATTACTATTATTACCTTATATTAAGCAATAACATCTTGTTAGCTGATTAGATAAGTTTTTCTTTAATACATGATTCTTCCATAAAACAGTAGTTGTTTTAATTTCTTTAGAATTATACAGTGGATGAAGGTTTTATTCCCCAGGTTAAGACACATTTTTTTTTGTTGATATTTTTTCCGTGAATAACATATTCCATATACTAGTAACGACATAGAAAAGTTTTTACCTAATAAAAGTGAATGTGAGAAAAGTTTACAATGAAAAACTTTAACCTTAATTTTCTCAAAATCTAAATTTTGTAACATAGCACCTTCATCCACTCGTGTCTTCAATTATAACCTATCGGTATACTTAGGATGGTGGTAAGCATAAATAATAATTTAATGGTGGGCCGCAACAATGTTGTGAGCGACAGATTGGGTCAAAGTGAGGTTTTAATGCAATATTGTTGTATACCCAAAGACCAATGCGAGCATCTTTCAATCTGGCTAAAAACATTTTGGCTTCCCTTAGTTTTTCGTACCGCAATGTTGGTATCCGTGCAAAAAGGTGGTATGTACGTGACTGTCTACCCTTTTTCACACAAATAGAGAAAAAAACGCAAAATCAATATTAACCAGTGGAAGAGAAACATCCATAAGCGTCAAAGAAATGCAGGTGAAGCATATGTATCTGCTATAAACGAGAATGTACCAGCAATACCCCGTCCACATAAGGTGAGTGCAACAATGTAGTATATTTTGTTAGAAAATGCATTTTTTTGTAGCCTTATCATTGTCGTTTGCTTTGTTATGATTCGTGCTCGTCAGTAATGAATGTATGATTTGAAATTCAGCATCTTTCGATAATTTCGATACTTCAAATAAGTATTTTATATTTTAGGAGCGACTATGCAAGTGCATACCTGTTTGCGAGGCTGCTAAAATTTAAAGTCGATTTGGAGATCTCTTCACAACATTTCATAGGCTGGATAATAATGCACAAACTGCGCAAAATGCACAAACACCTCGAAGAATCCAGCACAATCAGCAGAAGATAAAAATAGCAAAATACAATAATAGCCCTAATAAAATCAACGAAACCGACAAACAATTCGTATAAGAGAACGTATAAAGTCGTTCTCGACATCAAGAAAACCGTTATAGCCGTGCTGCATCTACGTAGAACTGCCTTCCTGCTGAATTAACTTGAAAAAAATGTAATATAAACTGTTTTGTGAAAAGTATCTGCAATGTTTCCCGGCGTACTTACACTGACATATTTCAATCACTCAGACTTTAATCTGCGCTTTGGTCTTACTCGCTCAGAGACGTGTACGTTTTGTCATCAAATGTGTATCAAGCTTGTGGTTACTTCAGATGGTCCAGAAAGAAATGCTATTTTTGTTTCACCATGCACGTGCTGAGGCTGGATACAAAGCATTGAAGTTGGATGCTAAAAAGGCTAATCCACAACTCGTCACACTCTTCACTGATCTTCAGCAAGTTTTGTACTGTCCAACATTGACTCATTCTTCAGTGTTCTACCAACGTCAGTATGCCACTTACAATTATGATATTCACCATGCATGTTCAAACGATGCCACTATGATGTGGCATGAATCAATGATAACAATTTAAATAAACAAAAACTAACATACATACCTCTCTCTCTAGGCCTCCTGATAAATCAGAATTCATATATTCTAAAAAAATTGCTTTATTATTTGGGTCATAACCCAACAACTCGATTACGTTGGGGTGCTTAAGTTTAGCCAGCAAAACAGCTTCATTTCTTATATCTTCATCATGCGACTTATTAAACTTTATAACTGCTTCCCGTTTAATATTATTTTTGGAAATTACTCCTTTCCATATTCTTGATTCTCCAAACACGTAACCTAATTCTAAAACAACATTTTTTTGTATGTAAGTATATTCTTATTTTTGTTATTACCTAAAACTAAAGTAAAAATTCAAATATGTAATTAATGTTCCTCACTTCGGCCACAAGTCAAAAGATGCCACCCTTCTTATTTCTCTTTTATCAGCAATGAATGAGAATGAGACCAAAAATATATAGACAACACAGCGTCAAACTATTGATTATTCCAACTAAAAATTACCTAAAATATGTCCAACCCATGGACGTATAAATAAAGATGAACCGGGCTATTTACATCTTTACATGAAGTCATGAGATATTCACAGTCACAGGCACAAATCCCTAATTTGACGTTGTCATATTATTTTTTTTTCCGAGTCAAGCTTCGAAATAATTTTCGATTTTTAGTATAATTTATTTTTAATCTATAAGTAAAAATGTATTATCTAGTTAGTATAAACTATTTTTAGATATACTCATTTCGCAACCAAGGAATTAAAAGAAAAAAATTAATTTTTTTAATTTATTAAAAGAAAATATATTCTGATAATCTTAACTTTTGTAAAACTTGGCATCATTGGTAATATCAACCAATCCTAGCGATTTGAGGAAAATGAACATGGCGTTGTATTGTTTACCTTCGAGTTAATAATTTTCTTATTTGTAACATTTTAGTGAATTTGTTAATATATTTTAAATTAGAATTGAAGAATAGTTGATAGTTAAGTGTAATAATGGTGCGTAACTGTGTTGTATGCAGGAAAACTTCATATTTACATCCAGAACTGTCATTTCATTCGTAAGTATTATAAACATTGGAATTATATCCATAGGCGTAGTACAAGGATGTGATATTACTTAATGTTTGACATGAATTGAAGTTTAATTTTGTAGTATTATAAATACATTTATTTATTCTTTCTAATCTACACTATAATTGCTATAAATATATTAATTTCAATGAAATATATGCAGGTTCCCAGTAAAGAATCAACTGCTGCTGGATGTGGTTGTCTGTGTTTGGCTTAAACCACGGAATAATAAACAATCAGAATGCCCACTCTCCATGGAAAATTAAGTACGCGCATCTCGTTCACACAGACGTTCCGCCATGTTTTAAAGGGAACCAGTGTTCCCTTGTTGTTTATGTGTAAGTTGTTTATGTGGTGTGTATAGAAAAATTAACCCGGTTTAATTGACTTACGACATACATAGACATACTATACAATTATATTAACATTGTTAAATATAATGACATGAATATAATATAATTAAATGTAAACAATTACATAACCTCACAAATCATATGTCTGTGTTATGTGTTTCCTTCTAAAACATGGCGTGCGTGCTGAAAAACTTCAAAGGCGGCGTCTGCAAGTGGGCATTCTGATTGTTTATTATTCTGTGGCTTAAACAAAGAACACATGTCCAAAACTGCTACGGTCTGCTCAGAACACTTTAAGAAGAATGATCTAATTATACAACCAAGTGGACGGGTTAATTTGAGGAAAGGAACTGTTCCAATAAATATTTACCATAAATCACTAGAACCAAGGTAACTATAACGAATTTCTATGTAATTTACCATACAGACTAATACATAAGTATTTTTAAATGTAGACATGCAAGATATAATTTTATTTTATAATATTTATAGGTATAATTTTAACGCTTTTAATTATATAAAATAAAGTTATGAAAAAAAAATTTACCTGACTCGATATCTATTTCAAAATCGTTTTCATTCATGAAATATGAGGCTATTGACATTTGTGACTCACAATCTAAAACCAAATAATAAATAAACCTGTAGTTATTATTTTATACACTTTGTTTTATTATTTTTACTTCTTTTAAGGCATGTGTATGTGTAGCAAATATATGCCACCTAATTGTGTAACAAGGAAAATAGCAACCACGGTTGGGAAGAGTTCCGAATGGAAGATGGTAGATGCTCTGATATGTAAAAAGACAAACAACTGGTAAAAATCATACATTGTTGGTGGAGACTGGAGCGACCAGGATCATTAAACTCTGGACAGTTATAAACATCCGTGGAGGAATTAACACCTGTTATGGTGGAGCATTGGAAACATGATGAGGAGGTTGATCGAGGAATCATAATTGGAATGGAATTGGTGATTTCTTTTAAATAAATTACTGTAAGACTTATGACCACCCAATGACCATCAAGAAAGAGAAAAGAGTGGGAACCTTTGTACCTGTGATATCCATTATCCACCAGACGACAACATCGGATAATTCCAATGACAAATTCTACCAAATGCAGTTGCTGACCAGTCTCTAGATCAGGTGGATAAAAGGAAATTAAGAGAATTTCTTTGTTGGTATTGTGACATTTTCGTATCTAGATGAGCAAAGACAAGAAGAACTAGTTATCAAACATAAAATTGACACTGGTAGAGAGAGGAAGATAAAAATATTGTTCAAAAAATAAAGAAAGTCGGCGTGATAGAACCTTCTACCAGCACATAGATCTCTGTACTGGTCCTAGTCAAGAAGAAAGACGAAACGAAAAGGTTATATGTGGACTACCATTTGTTGAAAAATATTACCAAGAAAGATAGTTATCCTCTGCCTTGGATCGATGACACTTTGGATACATTGGCTAAAAGTAAATTGTTTTATACTTTGGATTTGGATTGTGGCAATTGTGACAAGACAATGGAAAGCTAGGTTATTTGTGACACCTACTGTGAAACAAATACCTTCAGTGCTTCAGTTTATTACAAGTAAGACTGATGGTAAAAGGCACCAGATCGTCAAAGAACTTCTTGGCTAAAGAACTCACTACAGTGATATGTAATCAGTAAAACATTGTTCAAATTGCGATATGATTGCCAATATTTGACGAAACACCACGGTAAGAAAAAGCATTTGAACGAGGGGTCCTGAGATGTGAACAACCCTTTCACCTAGTTTAGTTTGCAGTGCTAGATGTAAAAGTAAAAAAACATTTCAAGCGAATTCTTGCTGCGACTTGATGTAACCGACTGCCAAAATGGCAATGATTAGAACTGAATGATGAAAATGATGGAAAGTCAGGTTAGTTGCATTAATAATAATGATGAAGCTCCATGAACCGTGACTAAAAATGAATTTTAAACATAAAAAATCACCAATTTGTACATTGTAAATATTTCGCATTGGTGCCATAATAATTTATTAAAAGTACTTACACGTCAGAGTAGTTTTAACTTGCTTCATATAAGTTGGATTAGCATTTTGATAATTTTCGAGAAAGATATCAAACAAATCAATCTTGGATTTGCTAAAAAAAAATAAAATAATGTTTAAATTCCTATTATAAGACTACTCCAAGTTAAAAAAATTTCGTTTTCTCTAGGTAAATATATTCATCACAAAATTACAAAGACTAGATAGATTATTAATAAATTATAATCGGTTGATAATTTTAAGATTATTGTGAAATGAATATTTTGTATTATAAATAATCTTGGCAAAATAATAATAATAATATAATAATAAGTGAATATCCTGTGGGAGTTTTTGTCAGTTCTTCTATCAGGCGCGGCTCCCTGCGAATGCGGAATACTCTCTGGGTATTCTTAGAACCGATACCCAGAGGGTTAGCAGGGTTACCTGTCGTAGAACAAAACTGACACCTGGCAGTAGGTATAAAATATACACCTATGAAAATAGAGTTTAATCATTTATGTTTAGGGTCGCTGCCTGGGGCACGTCTGGAGCCGGCACTGGACGTGACAGTATGCGGCACGTCGGTGGCAGGGTATTGAGGATGTGGGCCCCCGTCATATAATCACTACATCCCAACAACAAGAAGAACCACAATTGAGCCAAACAACAACAGAAGCTCCACTCGTTAAATGTACTGCACTGGAACATTAGCCGGTGCTCACTCAAGCGGGACGACTGAGGCAGCGCATGAAATGGACTGTGTCCATGAATGAAAATAATTTGCGCTTCTATTATAAGGGGACAAACCTCGGTCAAGAAACGATCGGCTATCGACAACAACTGTATGCCGAATTTTGCAGAGAGTACCCAGAAATCCCAGAACAAACAGTAGCAGACTAGTACAGGGTAATTTTAAGAAACAATCTTATCCCAGAGACTAGACGCGTCATCATCAGAAGTGAAATCGAACGGGAGATCCATAACCAAGAGCAAGTTGCAGACCAAGTACCTAATGAAATCCCTAATGAGCAGAAGAAACTCAACCTAATAATACACAGCAGGACAATAACGAATTGCATGATAGTCTGGTAAACGATATGACACGCGTTGTACAAGAATTTAGTGGAACAAGCCCACTTAGCAGACCACTGCTAGCAAAAATAAACTTCTAAAAAACTAGGAGCGCTGTTACAAATTGTGAATACTGAAGTTCTACCCAGTTATATCACAGAAGCTCACATATTGGAAAATTTGCATACGCTGATTTACTGGACAGCAATTGCTAATGTTATGGGCATTAAGATCAGAACACGACGGGGTACCAACATCGGAAGGACTGGTAAGAGAATATCACCCTGGGAAAAACGACTGCTGAGAAAGATTAAATTACTGCGTAGGGACATTGAACCAATAACATAATACATAAGAGGAGTAAGAAGTAGAAAAATCATCAAGAGAGCTGAAGAAATATTGTTTAACACTCTAAGACACACAAAACAACACACCTCAACAACGCCTGGATACATTAAAACAAAAACTATCTGTTTACTCAGGCCACCTAAGGAGATACAAAGTTAGTAACAACCAGAAATGTGACAATATTCTTTTTGAGCAAGCAGAGAAGGCTTTCTATAAAACTTAATTCCACTGTAGAAAATGCAAATAAATCCTACCCAAGACCAGAAGAAATTCGTGAGTTTTGGCAAAATCATCTTTTGACGCCAGCTACTCATAACAACAATGCTGGATGGATTGAAGAAACGACGAACAACTGTTAACACTACAGTAATATTTCATATGACCCTTTCACCACTGAAAAAATCTCGAATATTATCAAAGAGCTTCATAACTGGAAATCTTCTGGACCAGACGGAGTTCAAAACTTCTGGCTCAAGAAGTTTTGGAGTCTAAACGAGCTCTTAACAATATTAATTAATCATGTTATTTTTAATCCGCAGAAAATACCACCATTTCTTACCCAGGGAACCACTAATCTAATACGGATCAAAATAACACCAAGATCCAGCCAAGTACCGTCCAATTACTTGTCTTCAACTTGTACAAATTCACAAGGTCACAAGGTTCCATGGGCTGCAAAGAACAACTTATAATCGACTACAAGAAGGGCTTTGATTCAGTACCGCATGAATGGCTTATAGATATATTGAAAATATATAAAGTCGGTGATAATACAGTAACCTTTTTAAAGCATATAATGACAGAGTGGAAGGCTAAAATTCATTTTCAAATACCCGGTTAACAACATCGAAACTGAAGATATCCCAACTAACCGGGGTCTTTTCCAGGGGGACTCGTTGAGTCCTCTTTGGTACTGTTTAGCGATAAACCCACTATCTCAGCTACTGAATTCCAATGACTCAGGTTTTAGCATCAAAAATAACAACACTGTTGTAGCGAAGCTTGATCATCTGTTGTATATGGACGATTTGAAATTAATGGCTTCCACTCGAAACCTATTAGATCAGATGCTAAAAACTGTAGAACATTTCTCAAATGATACTAGTATGCATTTGGGACTAGACAAGTGCCGTATACTAAATATAGTCAGAGGAAAGGTTCAGCCTGGAGGTTTCGATATGCAAGATGGCCAAAACATCGAAGCAATGGGTGAATATGATATGTACAAATATCTCTGAGTAAAACAAGCGCCCAGTTTAGAAAACACTGGAAAAAACTGAGGGAAGCCTATGACCAGCAGTGGACAAGATTGGCTGATTAATGAAAACAAGCGCGAAAAATTGATCATAAACAAATGGAAACTGAACTAACTTCGGAGTTCGTGCGAAGAGTAAGACAACTAAATCGGTCATATCTTAATAGTAAAATTTTGTTTATGCATTAAAATAGGCATTAAATACGTAAGCCTGTTCTGCGCTGAGCTACTCATTTGGTATTATAAAGAGGTCAAAAACGAATATAGAAGGTCTTTAGCGGAAAGTAAGAACACTTTTCATAAAGGCGCAAAAAGATCATCCACGCAGTGCAGTAGAGAGAACAACATTACCGCGGTATCGAGAGCGAAGAGGACTTTTGGATATAGGTGAGCATTTGGATAAACAAATTGCCAATTTAAGAACTTATTTTCAGGTACAGGCTGAGACATCTACTTTACATTGAGCAATTTGCGCAGTAGATGATACAATGCTGCTTAAGCTGAGGGAACAAGAAATGCGCATAAACCTCTCAACAAGAAAAATGCGCACCCAGATGAGTAAACTTTGCATGAGCGACATTTTAATGAGATCAACCAAGAATATGTCGACAATACAGCGTCGAACTATTGGTTGACATCAGGAAAGATGTTTCTCGAGGCTGCGAGTTTCCTACTTGCCATTCAGGATCAGGTTATTCCAACTAAAAATTACCTGAAATATATTGTTAAAGATCCTCAAGTCCAAAATGACAAATGCCGATATGGATGCCAAGCCCAAGAAACCATCCAACATCTTACCGGTGGCTGCCAGGCATTTGTCGGTACTGATTATAAAGAACGCCATGACTCAGTAAGAAAGATTATCCACCAAGAACTAGCTGACAAACTGAGACTTCTCCAATATGCTTCCTTATTATCAATACGCCCCTGATAGAATGCTTGAAAATGAAAACTACAAGCTATAGTGAGACCGCACTGTGCTTACAGACCAACCAGTGGCCCACAATAGACCGGATCTCATACTAGTTAATAAACTTACTAGACAAACAACACTTATTGATGTGGCGATACCCAACACCAATAATTTAGGTGTTAAATACAACGAAAATATCGCCAAGTACAGAGATCTAGAAATAAAAATCAGGAGACAATGGAGAATGGAAAGTACCCAGACACTACCTATTGTTCTATCTGCTACTGGTGTTATTCCCAAAAACCTCCTAGCGAACATAAAACAGCTGGGTCTAAATGAACATCTTTATAAGGCCATGCAGAAAGCTGTACTCTTCGCGACGTCCAGATGTGTAAGAAAATTTTTGGGAAATACTCCAACATACCAAGTCACCTAGGTCTCGATAACACGGAAAGAGTCTCACCAGAGAATACAAGAAACCAATTCACCAAGAAGGAAGAATGTTTTTTAACCTTCTTTAATGCTCACGTTATTTTCTAATAGTGGAATGCTTAGTGGCTACATACTTAAGATCAAAAGCGACTTTGATAATTGTCATAAACCCACAAATAAAGCAACGATACAGAGAACTAATAAAACTGGCAGTAAAGAGCAGATTCTATGTCCACAAAGTATTGCCGATTACAAATGTAGCCACTAAGCGTCAAAGGTCAAATGGTTAACTGTCAAACCTAAAGAATTTAGCAATATACGAAGAAGGCTGCGTTTCGATTTAATTTGAGTCTCTTACCACTCCCTGACACGTGTTTCTGGGTCTACCCGTCATCAGAAGGAGTTTGTAAGAAGACTCAAACCAAATCAAAACGCACCGATTACTCTGGCAATTACAGGGAAATAATTACCAGAGTATGCAACTAGAGACCTCTAGTGAGGATAGATCAAAAACGCACCGATTACTCTGACAATTACAGGAAAATAACTACCAAAGTAGAGATGTGTAGTTCACCATCAAAATAGTTCAAATGAACGATTCTTTCAACTGAACTAATTGAACTAGTTCATCAATTTTCATAGAACTAGTTCACTGCTGCAATGAATGAATTCATCTTCCCCTGCTTGTTCTACTAGCGAAACTGATTTTGATGTTGAAGGTTGAGGTTCTTGAAATGTATTTTCTGATTTTTCGGGTCCTTTTTCTATGTATCTTTCAACATTGAGATATTTGAGATTAATAGCAGAGTGTTTCATTCTTAAATGTCTTGATAAATTGCCCAGTGAACCACTTGCAATACTAATATCACATGAACAGTAATTACATTTTGCAGATTTTTGATTTTTATCGTTTTTCTCTAAATGATCCCATAAAAAACTTCTATTTCGTCTGTTACTTATCTTTTGAGATTGATTAAGAAAATAAATTATTATAAAGAAAAACTAACTAATCATATAATAATTTAAAACATTTAAACCTAAACATACGATCGAAAGAAATGGTTCCGAATCCGAACTACTTGTACGTCGTGCGGTAGTGAAAGACTGACCGAAAACCGAAGAAAACGGGCGGCCAGCGCCGAGTTTGTGAGATGATTGAGATGAGACATCTGGCAACCAGTTATGTTAGGGTTGGATTTCGATTTCGGTCCTACAAATAGTTCTTTCGCGAACTAGTTCACTGAACTAGTTCATTTTTGTGAAGTCGTTCTCTTGAACTAGTTCGTCTAAAAGAACTAATAAGCACACCTCTATACCAGAGTATACAACTAGAGACCTCTAGTGAGGAAAGATGAAGATAATCTAATTTAGTATTAGTTCGCATAAACTTGTAATATATAAAATATAACTTTAAATAAAGTATTTTTCAAATAAATTTAGAAAAAAAATATATGTAATTCTTACCGGTTTTCCATATTTTCGTTGGACATTATATTTAAACCAATTTCTAACAGACTTTTAAATTCCATGTTGGATTTTACGTTCTTAATTACTTGTTCGACAATATTCAAAGGCAAAAGATTATCTTTAGACGCTCCATGTGAAGTGTTTTTGGAAGAGGGGTCTTCTTAGTATTGGCGTTTGATTTCGTTTTAATATTACTGCAAGACGCACCTTCTTCGGTTTGAAGCAGTTTTTTTGGATTTTTTACCCAAGACAAATCAAGTTCTTCTACTGGTTTTTTTGTCATTTTTAATGGATTAATCGTTTGACTGTTGTTTTTCTCCACGTTTTCTTTCTTGTCGGTTTTTTCTTTTTTCAATATAGTATTGTTTTCCGCTGGCAAATTTACCTTCTTAGGTTTACTACCAGACGAAGTAGTTTGCTTTTGACTCCAACGGATTTCCTGGATCTTTTACGAAAACAAATGGTAATACTCTTTGTTTGAGTGTTTTGTTTACCCTTTTCTTCTTCCTTACCAGTTTTTTCTTTTTTTAGAGTCGGGTTGTTATCTGTAGGCAAATTTACCTCTTTAGCTTTAGTATCAGATGAAGTATTTTCTTTTGATTCCAACTGATTCGTTGGGTCTTTTACGGAAAGAACGTTATCATTGTCTATGGTTCCACTATTGTTTTTCTTCCCGTTTTCTTTCTTGTCTGGTGTTTCTTTTTTCGATGTAGTACTGTTATCCGTAGGGAAATTTACCTCCTTAGGTTTACTACCAGACGAAGTGTTTTCTTTTGATTCCAATGGATTTGGTGGATCTTTTAGCAAAGAAACGGTAGTACTCATTGTTTGAGTGTTGTTTATACCCTTTTCTTCTTTCTTACCAGTTTCTTCTATTTTGAGAATCGCGTTGTTATCTGGAGGCAAATTAACCTCTTTAGGTTTCGTTTCAGATGAAGCATGTTTTCTTGATTCCAACAAATTCCAGGAAATATCTTCTACAGGAAGACCATTTTTACGCCTCGTGCGTTTCCTAGCAGTTTTTCCTTTGTTTAGAATTGAAAATGTAGGAGCATTTACATTTCTAACCTTAATATCAGATGAAGTATTTTCTTTTGGTTTTAATTGACTCGTTGGATCTTTTACGGAAAGAACGCTACCATTAATTGTTCCACTGTTGTTTGTATCCTCGTATTCTGGTTTGCCAAGTTTTCTTTTGTTTAAAATGGTAACGTGATCTAGTTCACTGTTGTTATCCTCACACTCTTTATTGTCAACTTTTCTTTTTTTCAAAATGGCATTTGTTGGATTCGTTACGCCAGAAACACTAACATATATTTCTGTTGGTTTATTATTTGCGTTTTCTGATACATTTGTATTAGCATTGAGTTGTTGTTTCGAAGTTTCTCCATATATAATCGATTTAGTACAGTTGTTATCTTTATTGTTAATGTCTGCAGTATTTTCTTTTTTTACAAGCAAATTTGAATCTTTGAATGTCTTTTTAGTATTGGATTTAATTTTTACATTTGATGAAAAAAGTTTCTCGGGATACTTCAACCAAGACATAGTGCTAAAAACGTGCCTGTGACAACTTGTGGACTTTTATCTGAAATAGAACTTGATATTAGAAAATAGATTTAAAAATAGATATTTTAAATACAGAAAGGTCTCTTTTTATGCCATTTTAAAGATGTGATTTTGTATTTCATACAAAAATTTATCCAAAAATGTTAATTATTAACTATTATAATTAAATAAAAAAATAAAAAAACGTATAGCCTCTCCTATCCAAATGTCAACCTCACCTGCCCGCGTGAAGATCTTGATTATGGTCATCCGGTGCATCCTGCTAGATAAAAAATGAGGCTCTGACGTCCGAGTGATTGCCGGTATAAGCAATCCCTCACTTACTGACCAACGGCTTAGAGGGAATGAGTTGGTGAGTGATAGGGTATTCTTTTGTCCTGGGGTTGAGAAATCGGCCCCGAAGGCGGATGAATCAACAAATAATGGTCAACGGCATAAGAATGCAGAAGGCAAAGGGGAACCACTGCATTAACGGCTCATAGAGCACCCCAGGAAAATCACCATAGAATTGACACTGCAATTGCAAACCGTTACTAATCATGGAAAGCGGAGGCCAAGATTCAGCAGGGAGAGCAAGTTCAGCAGGAGAAGAGCCAAGATTCAGCTGGGAAACTTGACAACGCAATTCAAGAAATGAAAAGAATGAAAATAGACCTACTGGGAATCAGCGAAATAAGATGGCCAGAGTCAGGATCATGTAAAAAGGGCGGAAGTGTATTATATTATTCCGGTAACAGCACAGAAGACCCACATCACAAAAATGGTGTAGGTATATTAGTAACATCAGAACTGAGTAAATATGAGACCAATTTCGTACCAGTCTCGGATAGAATACTATTGCTCCAAATAAATACTCAACCATTTAAAACTAATATACTTCAAATCTATGCCCCGACTGCAGATAGAAAATATGACGATGAAGTCGAGAAATTGTATGATCAGATCTAAGACATCTTACAGAAACTTAATAAACACGAAATTTTATATATTATAGGCGACTTCAATGTAAACATTCGGGAAGGACGACGAAGTCAGACTGTAGGTCCTTATGGTTTAGGACTACCTAACGATCGAGGACAGAAATTGTATGAATTTTGTAAAGAAAACGATATGATCATTGCAAACACCTGGTATAAACTATTCAAGCGACGACTATATTGGAAAGCCCCATTTGATGATGGCAACAACCCTGAGTCTTCAAGAAATCAATAGATATATACTTGTAAATGAGCGTTTTCGAAATGCTGTCAAAAAAGTCACCACATATCCTGGGGCAGATATTGGATCTGATCATCAACCACTTGTAGCAGATATTAAACTAAGGTTAAAACGAATTCAGCGACAAAAACCAAAAACCAATGTACTTAACTTTGACGATATAAACATAAAAAATAACATTAAAAAAGAATTTAACAATAGAATAAAAAACATCGGAGAACAACTAGAAGATCCCGAAGAACTATGGAGTAAATCCAATATATTTGGCTTAAATCCATCTTTGTCGCATACCTAAAAAACACAATGCGAGGAAATGCTCAGAATATCGATTAATTAGCCTAATAAGCCACACTCTTAAAATTTTCCTCAGAATTCTTCACTACAGAATTAGACGCAAATGCGAAGAAGATCTTGAAGATACCCAATTTGGTTTTAGAAATTCTAACATCCTATTATAAAAATGCCGTGACCAAAGAAAAGATGTATTTGCATGTTTCGTGGACTTCTAAAAGGCATTCGATAAAGTACAGCATGTAAATTTAATGCAAATACTGAAAAATATCTGAATAGATGACAACGATATTCGTGTCATTAAAAATTTGTACTGGAATCAAACTCGCCTTCGCAATGGTGATCGCCAAGATCGGATAATTCTGATATGGCATGCGAAGAAGAAGAATCCAGATGTCAGTAAAGTGAGCAGTTGCAATTCGGGAATTTCCTGGTTACATGATGTCCCTATTACATAATTGCGAGTTTCGCATTGAAAGGTATATAGTCACCTCGTATTTCGGTGAGACAATCTCGATGGTAAAAAAAAACAAAAATATCCTATAATGATTGAAGCCTTTTTATTAGCTGCCACTGTTACTCGAGTCAATAATAATCACAATATTATGTAATAATGTAATGGTGTTATAATACATTCTCCACTTTAATCTTCTAATTTCTAAATAAAACGTTTTGAAGTCGACGTAATATTTATTGACTTTAACCAGAACAGAAATAAGAGAACATAATATGCTGACTGTAGGTTTTTTAAAAGATAAATAGCACCGTTGAGTAATCGTTCGTGATCCATGATAATTTGCTTTTCAATGTTTACTAAAGTTTCTATTTCATCTTCATTCTGCAGTTTCCGTAATAACATTTCAATACATTTGTTATTTTTATCAATTCTTAAAATATTTTGTGTGGTCATGCCATTTTAAACAATTTAACGCATTTTTTCATAATTCATATTCAACACATATCAATCAAAATAGTGATATTTAACGTTTTTTTTTTTTATTAAGACAGGTATATATACTTTTCTTTGCTTTTCTGTAAATTTTTTTGGTTCATAATACTTTTTTTGATATTTTTTCTGAATTTTTTTTATTATTTGAGCACTTTTACTAGTTTACACCAAAGAAAACATTAATATTTGAGGTTTATTCACTTTGTCCACAAAAAATTGGGCATTTTTGAGTCGTTCCGGCTTAATAAATAATTACCCCAAAGGTAAAAGCAAGTAAAGCGGCAGGATCTCGGAAGAACAAACACTTAAGACAAGACACAAAAACAAGAATCTATAAAGCAGCAATTAGACCTATATTAACATACACAACCGAGACAAGACCTGAGACATATAAAGCGAGACGACTACTAGAAACAACAGAGATGAAAATACTCCGACTATATCAGGAAATAGTCTGTTGGATAGGGAGAGAAGCAAAACCATAAGAAGAGCATGCAATTATACACCATATATTGTGTTCGTTCCACTCCTGTTTACGTTTTGTCACCCATCCATTTCTGATTATGCAACCATAAATATGGATGGGTGACAAAACGAAAACAGGTGTGCAACGAACACATTAGTAGAACGGCAGAGGATAGGATAGTACAAATAGTACGAGATAAGTCACCAATATGAACGAAGATGTATCGGCAGACCAAGAAAAAGATGGTGCGATAATTTAGGTAAACAATCATCGATAATTTAGGTAAACAATTTACGAAGCAGATATTAAAGAAAAAACAGGCTTTAAAGCCTACATACAAAAAGGAAGAAGAAGATGAGTAACACAAACAATAGTACATCCAAAAACATAAGATTACGTCAGTATTTTTCATGTATTTTTTATACTTAATATATTATTCATTGAAAAACCATTGCATTTTTATAGTCAATATTTTTTTATTCATGAACGTGAACGTGTTAATTGCTGTATTAAGTAAATAGTGCTTAGTGAGAATTTTTTTTATTTCTCTCATTGTGTGATAAGCACTACGTAAACAATAAAAATGATGATGGAATGATATTTATATTATGTTATTCAATCAACGGTGTAATAAAAAATTGACGCTGAGTGAAGGGCACAAGCCAGAAATTTCATCGAAACATTTTATTTTCTAGTAGAATATCGACGGTCCCATTCTAATACCCCGTATCTAAAAAAAATCAAATTTTAGGTTTTCGCGTCATAATGATAAAGAAGGAATGTTCTATCTGTTTACAAAATCCCGAAACTGAAATAAAATTTTAAGGTCTTTGAATAGCATGTTTCTAATACGCCGTATCTACTACAGTCATTTGGCGCCGTGTACCTAATAACCCGTAATTAGTTTCTTATGTATGTTCTTAGATTATGGTCAAATTGGTGTAAAAAACGTGATTTTTCCTTGACGATGGCATCATTTATGGTAAGTAACTGCTTTTTGTTTATTTTTAAATTAATATTTAATAATTTTTAGTAAAACATGAATTGGAACGAAAAGAAAATATACGCTAGGTACTTTGAATATTGCATATTTACCGAAGACAAGAAGTTCAGTTGGCGAAGTATCTAGAAGACAAGGCACTTATTACTACTATTTAAGGAATGACGGCATTGTCAAATTGAGGGTATGCAAAAATATGTATTTGAGTAACTTTTTGGTCTCAAAGAAGATATGGTACACGATTGGTTAAAAGGAATGGAATACGGTCTTCATTCATTCTCGTCTGCCGTTAACCAAAGATGCATTTCAAATAGTAACAAATTAAAATGAGAAAATTTAAGTAAATTTTTTAACAACTTAGCGAAGGTGCCTTCGCTCTATTGTAGAAGAGAAACCTCAAGTTGTATTTGGAGTAGTTCTTCCAAACCGAAAGGATATATATATCTAGAGTATAAAAAAATTTTGCGCAGATAACAAGACGGTTAATTTGATAGTCAGCAATACATTATTAGATAACATTTTTTCTGATATGAAATTCTCACTGTACAAACCACGTAGAGATTGATGCTATATTATATATGTTGTGGTTCATCATCAGTGGCATTACAGCTCGTTATGAGCCAAAGCCTTCTTCAGAACAATCTTCCATTCGCCCCTGTCTCTGGTAACTCTTCTCCATGTTTTTAACTCCGATGTATTTTAGATCATCTTCTATGTTATCTTGATACCTAAGTTTTGGTGTTCTAATTTAATAAATTTTACAACGTCAGGTTACCCAAAACTTCTGTATAATTCAAAGTTGTAGCACCTACGCCACAAACCCTGTTCTTGGACTCCTATATATATTTTCATTAGAATTTTTCTCTCGAAACGTCTAATCAGTTCATATCTGTTGTGATTACGAAACGAAAAACGTTGAATATTATATATTGTTTATTACAAAACAAAACTCGCTGTTCATAATTTTACAATTTATAATTTGGACTCGTACGAATGTACAAATTACTGGTGGGATGAATGAGAAGGTCATTTATCTACTTCCAGCTTTACAACTT